CATGGTCACACACACATGATCTCACACACATATGCTCACACACAGTCACACACATGCTCACACACATGCTCACACACATGCTTTCACACACACACGCTCATACAAACGCATGCTCGCACACACATGCTCACACACAATCACACTCATGGTCACACACACATGATCTCACACATGCATGCTCACACACACACAGTCACACACATGGTCACACACACGATCTCACACACACATGCTCACACACACAGTCACACGCATGCTTACACACACGATCTCACAGACACATGCTTGCACATGCATGCTCACGCACACACAGTCACAAGCATGGTCACACACATGCTCGCATACACACGCTCACACACACAGTCACACGCATGGTCACACACACAGTCACATGCATGCTCAGTCACACGCATGCTCACACACACATGATCTCACACACACATGCTCACACATGCATGCTCACACACTCACAGTCACACGCATGGTCACACACACACGCTCACACACACACTCACAGTCACACACAGTCACACGCATGCTCACACACACACAGTCACATGCATGCTCACACACACACATGCTCACATACACACGCTCACATGCACTCACTTCTGACAGGATGTGCTCCACCTGGATGGGGGAAATCTTGTAAAATCAAAACATCTCAAATATATCAGAAACCAAATACATGCTAACACAAACGTTATTTTTGGAGCATTCCCTAAGGAAACCTGGTGAAGGACAGTACACACACATGCTGAGACCCCCGTCCATGGACCATTCCCATTCACAAAGAGACAGGCTGTATTCACGTTTACCCCTTGAATACAGCTGGACGCTGGGTGGACAGTAGGTACTCTATAAAGTCTATTTGCTGAAAGAAATCAGTATGCCAGATTTCTGAAACGGTAAATGGGCTTCAGTCATTGTTCAGCGTTCAATCCTACAGGAACTCCCTTGCCTTTGGATGGGAGGGACCTTCGTATCCAGTTTTAAAACCAACAACGCAAGGATTCACACTGATAACAGTAAAACAAAATGTCTCTCCATTGGACGATTTGGTCAAAGGACTTAGGGTTGGAAGCTCTTTGTCTTAGATCTGGCTTGTTCAGAAGCCGCTGAGCAATTTCATAATCTGATTCACTGCCTCTTCTGCTTCCTAAGAGGCTGGCGCCTCTTATGCCACGGGTGTTAACCACAAGTTTGAGGTTAATAAAATGCCAAGTCAGCCAATGCCACTTGTGACAAGCTCAGAAAACACAGCTTTCCATGCAGGCGTGAACACGGGCGCCATGATGGTAAGACAGCACTCAACACAATTGCTCCTTCCTTCAGCTGCGCCTCAGTCTCCCCACTTGTAGCAACAAGGGCCTGGTCTGGACAATCTCTAAGGGCCCTAGGATCTAACTGGCCCAGCCCTCTCTGATCCCTCCAGAACATCTGTGCTCCAAGCTTCCCCGGCTGAGAGGGAACGGTAAAGCCACCGCCTTCTGGGCACCTGAGAGTTTAACCCATTCCTTTCTTTCTCGGGAAGAGCAAGAAATGCACAAAACAATAAGCACAAAGCCTACTGGACTCAAGGAAAAATCAGAAGAGTCTTGTTTGTATAACCAGACCACTGATTTATCAGTCACAGAAAGCACGCTTTGATAGGATCCCACCTAACAGTGATGCAGTGGTGGACGGGGGATGAGGCTGTTTTCTTTGGGTACATCCGGACAAGAACTTTAAATATGGGAATTCCTTCTCCCACCTCCCCATCGTGTGCGCAGCACTTCACAGTTTAGACCATATTTCCACGTTCATTTCTCCCATCTGGTCTCATAACCAGCCTGTGAAGAGGGCAGGGTGGATGGATCAGTCCCATTTTGCAGATGAGGAAACAGAGGCTCAGGATGGTGAAGCCACATGCCCCAAATCACCCAGAAATTCCATCAAGAAACAGAAGGAGACCTGGAACCTTCTGCTTCCTGCTCCATGGCTCCGGCCACCTGCAGCCCATGCACCTACCCCAGGCCGACTCAGGCAGGGCGGAGGTGGGCGGTCCCCTCGGAGAGGGAAACCAGGGGCTGAGAGACCCCCTCACTGCTCGACCTGTCCAGCCCCTACTCGCTGATGCAACAAAACTCTCTGACTGAAGGCTGGCTATTCACTCTCTCCTCAGAAATTCCTAAAACACAGGAATGAATGACTAATTCTGGTTGGTTCTGTTTTCCAAAATTCCGGCTGGGTTGGGTTGGGGTCCAGGAAGCCTTTGTCCCTCAGGATCTTGGCTGGCGTCAGTCCGGCTGCCTCCCTCAAAGTGGCATAACCGAAGCCCCAGAAACCCGCCCTTGGTGATGACTCCCACCCCCAGCCCACTGACGTGTGTGAGCCTCAGCTTTAGAGCACACAGAGGCGTCCTGACTCAGAGGTGCCCTCCACAGTCTTTGATGCAGAGGCTCCCGGGAGCCCACCAGTGAATCTGCCCTTACTATTCAGACAGCCCCTGGTGCCTCCCCATCCCCGACCGGAACACAGCAAAAGGAAGCATCCAGAAGCACAAGGGGTGCAAGAGGCATGCAGGGAACACGGCAGCAGAGGAAATCCGACTGTACCATGCTGTTTGTAGATAGGGGGTTTCCTATAGATGTTATCTTTTACGCCAGTGTCTGGGAAAGAAGAGAAAGAAGAGGAGAAGGGCAGGGTGAGCGAGCACACTGGTTTCCACCCCACTGCTTCTCCAAAGCCAGCGTCAGGCGCCAGATTCCAAGTGGCCAGAAAGGCTCACAAGCGACTGACGCCCGGGGCCCACACCTCAGACCAAGCGTCGCCCAGCCCGAAGCCAGAACCTAGTTCAAGGGGCGCGGGGAGGGAGGCAGCTAGAGTGGGCAGCCGGCCGGACAGCGCCTTCTCTCCAGCACATTCCCGGGAGAGCAAAAATGTCTGCCTGGTGTTTGTGTGGCTTTGGGGGAAACTCCAACGCACGCCAGCAGGGGGATGTGCAAACCCTCAGAATTGGGGGGGCCGAGAGGCTTGGGAATCATAGCAATCCTGTGCAATCAGACGCTCTGCGTGGCAAGCCCAATCACGTGTCCTGGGTGCCTACCTGGGACGTGGAAGTGGCGAGGCGCCTGCTGGTAGGTGCAGGGGGGAGGCTTGCTGTCTGAGAGCACCGAGAGGCTGGGGGTGCTCCGGCCACTTTCACTGCCTCCAGACGGAAGAGCAAAGACAGGTAGAAGGGAGGAAGGGGAAGGCAAAGGACAGTATGTCAAGTAGGAACGCTGGTTCCCAGTGAACCCATCTCCCCTGGCTGGTGGAGCCCCGCAACACTCTGCCCAGGGGAGGGTGCCCTCCACCGACACTTCCAGACGGTGCCCCATGGCTTGTTAATCCAACCTCGAGTGGATCCCTTCCAGTGGCCCCACTTGCAAGGAGCAGTGGCCCCAAGGGCAAAGAAAGGGCTTGCGGTTGCTAGTTCATGGGGATGTCGGCTTGGCTCGGCTGACCCTTACTCTCCTCGGGGTGCACAGTTGGTCTGCTGCTCAGCACCAGCCGGGGCTTGGATCCAGCAAATCGCAAATTCACCAAAACTGAAGCCTCCCTCCCTCAGTATCCATGTGTAAAAAGATGCCGCTTTCTTGGAGGATCAACAAATCAGTCATTCAGAATAGGATTACAAAATCGGTTCCTAAATGTCGCTGAGTAAAATTTTACCAGCTATAGGAGGATAAAAGCAAGTTGATACTAATTAGCTGCCATGTTCCTAAATAAAGCTACTTTTGGCAAATTAAATGAAAGGAATTCTCCAAATCTGGCTCCAATTTCCTATCCCAACTGGATTTATAATTTCTGTGTTCTGAACAAGGTTGGATTATCAAGTCACAAATTCAGACAGTTGTAGTTTCCCCAGGTGACCCCCCTCGCCCCCCTCCCCCACCCTACACATACCTATTTAAGGAATGACATGATAGACAGAATGCAATGGGCGTTGAACACTTTGGATGATGAGATTTACGGCTCATTTTAGCAAGACACTCCTAAGGCACACCTCATTTCCTCTCCCATTAGCCTCAGGAAACCCTCTGCCGTCTTGGATCATAGCCTGGCGAAGGGAGGGGGCCCTCCAGACTTGGAAGGAGCCCCTGCGGGCTACAGCTGTTCAAAGCGGCAGGGCCCTGAGGTGACCCAGCAAGGAAGCAGCCCTCCCACGGGGCTAGACGTGGACGGGAGGGTGTAGTAGGCGTGGGCTCCGAGCGCGCTGTTGCCTGGGTCGGGTGCACCGGGAACCCGGGAGGGCTCGTAGGGGCAGAGGTGGGCACTCAGCCTGAGCAGGCCACCACCCCGCGGCCCAAACTGGGCTGAGACCACAAAGGGGGCTGCTGACCTCAGCTCGGAGCATCCATTCCCCCTGTGCCTGGGCACCAATTTCGCCTGTTAGTGCTGATGGAACTTCGGGCCCATGACTGCCCCCTATCACCGCGTGAACCCTACTTCCCCTGAGCCACACCCCCCGTGCAGCACAGACTCTTCCAGAGCCCCACACCAGTCCAGGCTCCTTCCCGCAGCTCCCTGGGGAACAGGAGCCTTCAAGCCATTGCTGAGTCCCCAGGCGAAACCATCGCCTTGTGCACATAAAGGTAACTGATTGCTGATCGGTTCTACCAACAGTGGCTGTGAAGGGGTCCACCCCAAGGACAGAGAAACATGGCAGTAGTTTAAACAGTCTCCTTGCACAGGCTCGGGAACCGCCGAGGACGGCCCACTCCGGGTGTCATCACTAAGCCTGCTGTGCTCCGGGCACGGCCTGGCGAATCCGGGAGGCTTCGAACAGCTCACTTCCTTCTGCCTAGACACCCTCGTGCATCCAGCTCCTGCCCAGGGGGCTGCAGATGATGGGACATGTGGCAGAGCTCCTGACCCCCAGTCCCCAAGCCAACAGTGCAGTGTCCTCCTACAGCACAAGCAACAGCCTGTGTCTGTGTGCTGATCTATCTGGGGAGCACCCACAGTGCTCAGCAGGTCCTCACGGGGCCCGAGACCCTGGGGCAGCTGGGGACACAGACCCAGAAGCAGTGGCCCATGACGCCCATCCACAGCTACCATCCAGGGGTACAGAGATCACCAAACTCTGCCCCCTGGTCCCTGGCTGAGACGTCTCTCCTGGCATCCCCTCCTCCCAGCCTCCCTTCCCTTCCCCACCCCCATTAGAATCCCCTTTGCAATCCTTCCCACTTGTCATGGCCCTTCCTGGGTCAAGGCCCTGGTGCAAAGCCTCCCTGGGAGACCCAGGCCACCATTGACCATTCTCCTGTCTGGACTCATTGGGTCACCTCATTGTCATAAGACACACTGCTAACATCACCCGCCCCCCCCCCCAGGGTCCCTTGTAGTGCTTTGCCCACATCAGCTCACAGAAGCTCATAGAAATGCCCACAGCAGCCCCGTAGGACTCGTAACTCCCTGGCCACCTTCTGCAGGAGGGACGGGGCTGGGAGGGCCCGGCGCCAGGGTCCCCGTGAGGCCCAGCTCCAGCTGGCTCACCATGCCACCCCCGAGGCTCCAGTCACTGCCCCGGGGGCCAGCTTCCTCCCTGGGCGTCAGCAGTAAAACCCCGAACCACCGATGTCTCCATGGATGCGGGAAAACGAGAGGAGGCCCTGGCCTGACTTTGAAAAGAAGCCCCTGCTGACCAGGCTCTCGGGGCCTCTGGAGGCAGTTCGGGAAGGAGGTCAGATTCTGACCTCTGCTGGTGGTGGTGGGGGAGAGGCTTCTTCTTCCTAAATTTGAAGCAAGTGGTCTACTCTGGAGCACGCTGCAGCCAGTCTCCCCGCGGGGTAACGGCTCCTGTCACCGCAGGGCATCGTGCGTCGCTGCCTTGGTGTTGGCTAAAGGCCATCCTTCAGATTTCACATCCCCTCCCCCGTCCGTGGACCCCATCCAGGACATCACGTGACACGTCCCCCTCATCTCCCCAGGCTCCTCTAGGCTGCGACGGCTTCTCAGACTTCCCTGGTTTGCGATGATTTTCGTGAGGAGTCCTGGGCAGGTGTTCTGTGCGGCGTCCCTCCGTGAGGACTGGTCTGATTATTTCTGGTGATCAGACGGGGATCGCGGGTTCTCGGGAGGAAGATCCTGGGGGCGCAGTGCCCGCCCATCCCATCAGGTCAAGGGCACCTGCCATCGACGTGACTGGTCATTGGGATGGTGACCTTGAGCCCCTGGCCAAGTGGGGTTTGCCAGGTTTCCGGAGCAGTCCCCCTCCTGGCCCTCCCAGGCTGTGCCCTGAGCAGGCCATGCACCGTGCACGCCTGGGGACTCAGGGGGGCGTGGGCTTCCTCCTTGAGGGTGGCACGTCCACGTAAGTCACTGGGAGCTCTCCTGCTCAGGAGATCTGTCCCTTCGCCTTCATTGATTCATTTGCTCATTTATTTTTGACACATGGACTTGCGGGCCCTCACCTCACTCGCTGGGTGACTGTCCAATGTCCTGTCATTCATTCTGCTCTTCGATCGTCCCAGCTTTGCCTGGGTTGGCTCCTGTCGAGTCCTCGAGGTGGCTGGAAGCAAAGCCAGCTCCCGTCTGCATGAAAGGGCGTGTTAAGGACGATGAGCAAGACGTGCGTGGGTTCTCACATCTGCAGCGCTCCAGCACGGGCCGTCTGAGTAAGGTGCATGGCCCAGGGCCTGGGGCCAGATGAAGAGGTGCCTCTGGGGCACAGCAAGTGGGTGGGAAGCAGGCCCTGACCTGAGGCTCTGCACCGGCAGTCCCTTCCCTCCCCTCCTGCCACGGGGGGAGGAGGCTTGCTGCTCAGTAAGCTGCAGCTGCCCAGTGAAGAGGTCCCGGCAGCACCACCTCCTCCTGACCTGCTCCTCAGCAGGTGAGAGGTCAGGCTTAAACCTTACGCTGCCTCAGGAGACATCCCCGGGTCTGAAATTCATACTAAAGTGCAAATGACTGCCACCAACACAGATGCAGCCTGCAGGCCTTGGTAGAGAGTGGCCTTGGGCATTGAGACATGGGGGGAGGAAGGTGTGTCTGGGATGGGGGTCCAGCAAGGAGAGAGGAGGAAAGCAAGGCACCCCTTCAGCATCTAGCTGGGTCAGGGCAGGTGGTGGCTGGGGTGAGGGCATGCCTCTCCTTGGGGAGCCCTCCACCCACAGTGGCATTCAGAGGGTCATCACCTAGAGGAGCCAAAGATGCTAAGGATGCCATGAGGAGAGGCCAGGAAAGGTTTTCCCGGGGAGGGTGGGTGCACACGGGGCCATGACCAGCTGGGAGGGGGACAGGCCTTTGACACAGCTGACAACTGAATGCCCATAGGCTGGGATGCGCTAGAGCATGCGGCTGAATGAGAGCATCAAGCAGAGGACAGGCTCCCTCGGTGTGGTCTCTGAGGTGGACTCAAGACCTGTGATGGACATGGCTGGTGAACAAGGGTCCGACTCAGCTCTGCCCCACGGAGCTTCGGGATCTCAGGCCAGCATTGTCTGTCTGAGCCTTGGTCTCCTCTGGGGTGAGTCCTGGAAAGAGGCTGGGCACTCCCAAGGTCACAGGTGGCCCTGGAAGTTGGGTACAGGTCAGAGACATGGCGCCAGGACTCCCCTGCATCTGACCCAGAGAGGAGAGCAGGGCCTTTCTCTGATTTCTGACAATGGGGATTGGTGGCCAATGCAGCCGGGAGGGATAGGGCAAATACCGCGCCCAAAGCCGTAGGACCCACACAGGCCCTGTGCCTGGGCCCACCCGGCAGGCCGCATGGGGCCCGTGCTCCTGCCCCAGGAGATGCCCTTGGCCAGGCTCTGAAATGGTTTCTGAATCCTATTTCGGTGGGCAGGGGCTAGAGTCTGTCTGCATGGTCTCCCCCACCATGGGGTGGAAGGAGGGGCCTAGCTGCTCCTGTCCGAGGACAACACGGCTGTCTCTCCCTGTTAACCAACCCCCGGCCCTCCCTTACGGCGCTGAGGAGGGGGTGCTGCCCTCCCTGACCCACCTGGAGTGGGCGTGCTGGTGATCGGAGACACCGTCCCAGGGCCAGCCCTTGGCTGAGGGCGCTCGCTGGCTTTCCTCACCCTGGAGGGCTAAGAACTTGAGGGTGGAGAGCCAGAAGGGGGCAGCGAAGGACAGGGTCACAGGGTCTGTCCAGACCCCAGCCTGGACTCGTCTCAGCCAAAGGGGGTCCCCGTGTGGTCCGGCCAGCTCATGGGGGCTGCTGGGACAGCAAGTGCCCCGTGGCCAGGCCTTGTCTCCGGGCCACCCCTCTTCCAGAGCCCCCAGGGGGACAGCCCCACCCAAAGCGGGGCCACGGCGGGTGGTGGGGGGAAGCTGTGTGGACAGGGGCCTTCGGACCTGTGAGCGAAGGGAGAAGAGGCATCTCCTTGGTGACCTGCCATGCCCCGTCTACTAGCCAAATTCCCCTGGTTTGCAGGGAGTGTGCTGTCTGCCCACAGGACACGCACGGGCCACGCGGCTGCGTGTGGCAAAGCCTTGCTGGCTGCTGTCATGCTCACAGGAGGCACCATGTCCGGCTTTGCTGCTTCTCAAGAGGGACGGCAGGTCCAGAAAAGTTAGACGGTGAGCTGTGAGGACAGGTCCTGATGCTCGGGGGCTCTGCTCTCCATAGACCCAGGGGAGACACGCAAACAAGTGATGGGGACGCACGTAAGGGAACGCACAAGTTCCAGTGAGCCCCGTCTGAGACCATCAGATAGGGGTACGATCCAGCTGAGCTTGGCTGGCCTCCCGGTCGCATCAGGAGGGCCATGTCCCACTCTGCAGCTGTACAGAATGGGGGGGTTCAATGCCTCCCTGGGGGATCAGTAAGAACCTCACTGCTGCTTCCTCTAACACCCAGAGCATTCTCCTACGGTGTCTCGGGCTGCTAGGGCTGCATACCAAAGTGCCAGACATTATTTCTTACAGCTCTGGAGGCTGCAAGTCCCAGACCAAAGCGTGGCAGGGCTTGGTTTCCGGTGGGAGCCCTGCTCCTGGCTGGCAGACGGCCACCCTGTCCTCACATAACCGTGAGGCCCTTCCTCTGAGCACACTCAGAGAGCGAGGGCTCTTCCAGTGTCTTTTCCTCTTCTCGTAAGGCCACCAATCTTATGGATCAGGAGCTCATCTTAGTGACTTCATGCGACCCTGATGGCCTCCTGAAGACCCCATCTCCAAATGCAGTCACATGGGCGGTTAGGGCCTTCACTTACAGACCTCGGGGACACAATCAGTCCGTAACACGCGGGAAACGAGCTTGGCCATTTTCCTGGTGTGACTGGCATTCGCTGTCCGTGTAGGGATGTGGACAGTTGGGAGGGGGGTCTGCGCCCTGGGAGGAGGCAGGAACCAGAGCCTTGCAGGGTGTGCGTCCGGCCCCAGCCACCAATGAGCCCCAAGGCCAGGGACAAATCATGGCCTCCTCTGCTTTGGCCCCTGATAATGGCTGCAAGCGGTCCCTGTGCCCCTGCGGAGCTGACGTGGGACATCAACGGGGGTCATGGGAGAAAGGCTCTGGGAACGAGGCCCCGGACTGGGCGCGAGGGAGATCCTAGCCTCCTGCCCCTGCGGCTCTCACTCGGCTCCTCACTACTCACTCCTTCCCACAGCAAGCTGCCTACGCCCTGGTCCCAGGAACATTGACACACCGACAGAAACGGGGCTGGACCCACGAGACACACAGCAGGGAGCACGAGCGGAGACACAGGGCTCAGGGAAGCCATGCGGCGGACACAGGACAGCAAGACACAGACGCGTGGCCGGACACCCTGCAAGTGCCCGTGGCCCGCGGCCCTGCGCACCTTACCTCGGAAGTAGGGGACGTAATGATGTCTGAACACGGATGTAGGGCTTGGGTGTTGGGACAGGGACAGGCAGCTACTGGTACCAACACTCACAGTACCAGCTGCAGGCAACAGAGAGCAAGTCAGAGTCCACCCCAGGCCCGCTAGCCGCAAAGCCACAACACAGTCCTAGGCCCCACTCCGCTAGGAACATTTGCGCTTCCTCTCCCGAAGAAGGCACACCTTTGTGAGGTCCCTGAGGGGGAGTCACCAGATGCGCTTTAGACCAGTCTGCTCCAGGCTCTGAGTGAGGAAGCCCGGCCCTCTGAGGGTCAGGGTGGAAGCCCCGGGCTCTGGAGCCCTGCCTGTCCCTCCACTGGGGGCTCCTTGGCCTCAAAGACAGGTGGAGAGCTGCTGGCTGGACCCAGGCGAGCGTGCACCTGACGGGCACCTGGCCTCATCCCACTGAGATATGCGTCTTGGCTCTCTGAGGTGAGCACCTGGCCAGGCACGGCCAACAAGCCTGGGTGACCCAAAATACGGTGCTCGGGGGTCAGGAGAGGGGCCTTCAGAGAGGGCGCTTGGGGAGCCTGACTGCCCTTCACCCCTCACTCACCTGCTCGCCTGCTCGCTCATCAGTCATTCATTCATTCGTTCACTCACACACTCATTCACTCACATACTCACTTGCTCACTCATTCATTCACTCGCTCACACACTCGCTCACTCATTCACTCACTTTCTCACTTATTCATTCACTCACTTGCTCACTCATTCATTCACTTACCACACTTGCTCACTCACTCACTCGCTTGCTCACTCAGTTACTCCCTCACACCCTCACTCACTCATTCATTCACACACTCACTGGCTCACTCACACACTCATTCACTCACTCACTCACTTGCTTGCTCACTCAGTCACTCCCTCACACACTCACTCACTCATTCATTCACACACTCACTGGCTCACTCACACACTCATTCACTCACTCACTCACTTGCTTGCTCACTCAGTCACTCCCTCACACACTCACTCACTCATTCATTCACACACTCATTCGCTCACTCACACAATTGCTCATTCAGTCATTCACTCACACATTCATTCACTCGCTTGCTCGCTCACTGGCTCATTCTCTCTCATTCATTCACTCACTCACACACTAGCTCACTCACACACTCATTCATTCACACACTCACACACTAACTCATTCACTCACACACTCGCTCACTCAGTCACTTGCTCACTCACACACTCACTCATTCATTCACTCACACATTGATTCACTCACTCACACACTTGCTTACTCACTCATTTACTTGCTCACTCATTCATTCACATTCATTCATTCACTCACTCATTCATTCACTCATTAATTCACACACTCACTCACTTATTCACTCACTCACACACTCACTGGCTCACTTACTCACTCACTGATTTATCCACTTTCCACTTATTGAGCAGGATGTTCCAAGAACATTGCAGGTAGTCAATGAAAATAACTTTGCAAATGAATGAGTTGATTTTTCCACAAAGGCTGCGAAAATTAGAGCTGTAGCCCATGGATGTGGAAATGGAGTCATGCAGCAGCTGGCCAAGGAGGAAGCAGCTTGGAAAAATCCCTCACAAAGGCAGTGTGTGCATGGAGTGTCCCTGGGGCTTTGACACACCGAGGGTAATGATGAGTTTTCGAAGCTAAGGGTGAGCAATACACAGCTGGGTGCCAGGCAGGAAAGGAGGTGGGCTGGGGGTAGAGAGCACCCTGCCCCGGGTGTCTCCTTGCCGGGAGGGCACAGTAAGCCCTCACCAATGTTCCCACGGGGATGGCTGTCTTCAGGGCCACCATCCCAGCTACAGGTGAAGAGTGTCAATAGATATTCTCACTACTTTTTGGCCACTGACCTTGCCCTCATAGCTCAAACCCCCCCCAGACCCACATGAGCCTGGGACTCACGGACCTCTGGTCTCCCACATTTATGCTCCTTTAGCTTCCTGACATCTCCTGTGACTGAAACATTTCTAAGCGCTCAGCACTGCTCGTGTGTTTCACCGGACGGCTCCTCTAACCAGCAGGGTAACCAGCTGCCTCCGCAGCGGTCCTCCCCTCCCAGACACGAGGGGCCAACCTTCGTGGACACATGACCCGGCCAGGCTCCCCCATCACCCGCTGGCCATCCCGCACCCGGCCCGTCATTTTTCCAGATGTGTAAAGGAAGAGACAAAGTCAGAAGAGGGAAAGCAGCGAGAGGTACAGCTTCATCCGGGGTCAAAGAAGCCACGGGGGCAAAGTACCTGGACGGCTGTAGTGTTGGGGCGACCGTGAGGTCGGCGTGTAGCGCCCGAGGCTGACTGACCCAGTGGAGCTCGGGCTGGAGGTCCGGCACTGCTTGCACGAGCGGTCATCCTGATCCCCCTGGGAGGGAAGACGGCCTGGTGAACAGTGGAGCTGAGGGCACTGCCCACCCCCCACGCATTCACCCTCCTCCTGGCGGTTGCCCTCTGGACCAGAGAGGCTGACTCAACGTGGCCCCAGGACGAAATCCTCTGCATCTACCAGGGCACCCCTGAGGAGCCAGGTAGGGCCAGGCCTCGTGGCGACACCCCCCGTGGCCTGAGCACGTCCCCAGTGCCCCCAGATCCCAGAAGGCAGAGTCTCCATCAGCCCCTCCCTATGGCTGGGCTCTGGAAGAGGGGTGGTGGAGGCACCTGGTTCCCCCGGCACCCCTCAGTGCCCCTCCTGCCCCATCCTCCCCAGCACCCAAGCTCCTTACAACCACAACATTTTGAGATCTTCGAGAACCATGAGATTCTGCATTCTCCCCCCCGCCTACCACCCAAGGGGGGCTCCCACGTGCGGGATGGCCCAGTTGAGTCAGACCCACAAGCACTGGCCCACGAGACTCCATTCAAGCAGGATGAGCAACGGTTGGGAGCAGTCAGAGCAGGCGACAGGTGGCGTGAGATGGCATGACACCGTGGCGCAGGGGAAGGGCAGGTTGTTGGGCCCGCCACGGCAGGGCACGCTGGCCAGAGTCCTGGGACGGCCCAGTCCAGCAGCCCGCTGTGGGGGTATGCTCCTGCTTTGCCCCTGAGGCCAGCACAGGGGTAAGCACAGGAGAGGGGAGAGTCTGGGTTTGGACCTCGTGGCTCTCATGCTTTCTGAGCTGACCTTCTGCCTCCGAAGGCTTGTCCTTCGGCAGAACCCACTGAACCACTGTCCCTAACACCTGCCCGTGCCCCCACCTCCATGCTTGGCTCAGGCCGGTTCCCGTGCTGGGATCACACCCACCAGCTGTCACCTGGCTTCGCCCTGAGCCCACCTGGCCCATCCCGCCCACGGCGATGGGTGCTCTCTCCCCGGGGTGGCGGCGTCTCTGGGCATCCTCCGCACAGCCCCACTGGCCAGTTCCTACGCCACAGGCATTCCTTCTCCTCGCTTAGCCTGTCCGAGGGCCTGGCCGGCCACATGTGGTTTTCGAGGCTCGGCACTGATGGCCACTTGCCCGGGCTGGTGGGCACATTCCTGAATCCGAGGGTTCGATGCCCATGCAGATGGGAGTCTGGTGGGCACCTGTCCATACCACTGAGTGGCTCTCGGAAATAGGAAGACAGAGCTGCGGACTATAAATGTTATTTGATAGAGAAATGCTCTCGGAATATCCGTCCGAGAGGATCTGGGTGCTCCATATGTCCCACTCAGAGCAGCGTGAGGTGGGCCCAGGCTAACCCGGGCTCCTGGGTGTTTTCTCTACAGGAAGCCACGAGCCAGACCTCGAGAGAGCCATGTCCCACGTGTCTGCCACTGCAGGGCCGACGGGTACACCACAGAAGCATGCAGATGAGACGTGATTATAAAAATAACCAACACCAAGGACGGCATTTCAGGCCACCGAGGACCATGGCCCCATGACCCAGATGGTCAAGAGCCACAGAGGCCCTTCTGGGGGTGCCGTGGGTGGTTATGTTTATAACCCAGGTGGCAGCACCATGAGCGAGAGGGGGCGTTGGCTGGGGGGCAGGCGGTTACCTCCGTCGGCGTTGGTGAGAGTACCTGCGGGGACTGTGGATACAACACACAGAGTGGCCTGTTAGGTCGCTGGGGGTGGGGGGGGCAGAAACAGCAAAGGGCACAGACACGTCCTCATGCCCAGATCCTCCTCCAAACGGGAAAGGAACCCCACCACGAGACATGATGCAGGATTCCAGAACCTTCTTTTTGGAGAAGTATGGTCAATGGCACCCCGAGAAAGGGGCCCCCAGGACAATTCTTTGGGCCAACCCTGGAGTGCGCCTCCACAACGGCCCACCCTGACACCCACTGCTCCCTCGCGAGGACATATTTTCCAAAAGGAAGACCATCAGTTTGGGCTGGGGGATGACAACATCCTCTGAGCCCGGCAGCCTTGGTTTGCCCCAGAGTGGAGAGACGAGGGGCCCAGAGAAAGGAGGGCAGTTCAGGGCCTCGGGGTTTGGGGATTCCCCCTCTCTGCAGCATGGAAAGGGAAAGTGTCCCCCAATCCTCCCATTTCATGGAAGGGGAGACTAAGGCTCAGAGATGGGGGAGCAAGGGGACTCTGACACCCCCGGGGGATGACGAAAGCCGGCGTGGAGGCCACGGTGACCGGGGCTGGCTACCCCGGCCCAAGTCCCACCTCTGCCTTGGAGAGCTGCACAGCCCCGGGCCGGCATGTCTGTGCCCCGGGCCTTGTGCCCTCATCTGCATCCTGGACACTCACTCCCGTGGCGCGGGGCCACGGGACATGGATACCCAGGAAAGCCCAGTATCCGTGCAGAGTGAGCAGGCCAGAGGGGTGGGCGGCCACCCGGACGGTGGTGACACGGCTCAGCCACAGCAGTGTGACCTGCCAGGGGACGGAGGGAAGCACCCGTGGTTCACAGCGCGCCCCTGGAGACCGTGTGGCTCAGACTCTGCATTTGCCCCACACTGCTGTGCTCTGCTCGTGTGTTTGCCGACACTCCCGGGCCCGTGGGAGCAGGACTGAGGGGGACGACGCCCCGCACCCACGTGCCCGCGTGGCCCTCCCCAGCCCAGGCCTCTGTGGCATTCTCAGCGAATCTACACACGGCTGAGGCCCTCATGAGCCAGTCTGCGCAGGAAATCTCAGGCTCCAACCAGGGAGGGTGGGGTGGCCCAGGGCTGCCAAGGGCAGGGGGTGGGGAACTTGAACCCAGGCCTCCAGATCTGGCTCCCGTGTCTTAGAGGAAGCATGAAGAGCAGCTAAGGAAACAGCCAGCGGGTGGTCTTTGGGGCAGAAAGGCCTGGATTTGTCTCGGCTCTGCTGCTCACTGTTTGGGGGAGCCTGACCAAGTCAGTGGACCTCTCCAACCCTCTTCAGTGCTGTCCACCAGAGCTCAGACCAGATGCTGGGTGATAAAGCCCCACGCACAGCTCGGGTACATGGTAGGTGGGGGCAGGTTGGGACCCCTCCCCGTCCCCACTCTGAATGGGGCACGTCACCCACATCGTCAGGGTCCCGGGTGTCCCCTGCGGCACAAGTCAGCCAGGAGGGGCGCCTGCTGGCTGCTGAGCAAGCAAACGGGCATCCTTGTCACCCTCCCGCCCTGCCTTGTGTTCTGCAGCGGGGCCCAGCCTCTGTGACCACCCGCCTGCGGAGCGTGGTGCCCCTGAGCCTCAGCCCCACTCCCAGAGAAGCGGACAGGAAGGCTCGGGGAGATGTGTGAAGGTCCTGGGCTCTCTTGCCCCGGGGGGCGCACTGGTGCCGGGCCACCCACACGTGGACGGTACACACGCTCAGGCCACCAGCTGGCAAATCGCTCTTCCTACCTATCCTGGGCACCCACGGCCACACTCGAGTCTCAAGACCACCAAAGAGCAGGGAAAATCAACAGCGGACTCCGCGTGAGAAGGAGAGGAGCCGTGAGAACCAAGTCACCGGGGAAGGACACGCCCGAGGGACACCAGGGAATCCATCGTGTGTGGTCCAAACAGGTGGTCAAACCAGTGCAGGGGATTCATGAGGCGGGGGGCAGGCCAGCTGCTGAGGACGGCAGCTTGCCTCCACACCAGCATGTTTCCGAATTCCTCCCCCACCGAAGGAGACCCTCCGCGAGGGTGGGGGCAGAGCCCCTGGGGCCTCTTGAAAGGAGATGCGCGCAGGCCATCGGAGGGGATCACGGGAGGCCGGGGGTCAGAGGGGGCGGAAGCGGACGCGGCCCTTGCCGTGGGCACACCACCCGCCGCGGGGGCCCTACCTCGTGGCTGCTCTGCCTGCCCGCCGCGGAGTGGCTGATGTACGGCGAGTAGGAGATCATGTCGGGGCGGTCGATGTTGTAGATGGCCTTGCTTTTAGGAAGAGCAGCCAAGTCCCTGTAGTCGAGAATCTCATCGCCCAGCTTCGCCTGAGAGAGAGAGAACAGAGGGCACTGTACCCCACAGCCCAGAGGGCAGCAGGTGCTCTGGCGGCCGTGGGGACAGTGGGGCCCAGCCCAGGACCCAGGCTCTGTGAAATGGGGTGAAGGGACAAAGGCACATGGCCAGGGAGTCCTCATGGTCACGTGGGCCTGGGTCCCTCGGCCCCACCACGGAAGACCACAGAGTCCTAAGAAAGTGTATTCTCTGAGCCTCTACTTCTCTCCCTGGCCAAGTGGGACAGATGATTGCATAGGACAGCCCCAGGGTCAAAGAGGTAGAGCCTGTCACCTGTCTGGCACAGAGCCCAGCAGACCCCGAGACTCAGCTGATGGCCTAAACATACCTACACACATCTATATATGCACACACACAAACCCATAGAAGCACGTAAACCACATATGTATGCATAGAGGCAAATGCACACACATTTATATCAACATGCAAATACATGGATGCATATGCATAATACCCACCCACAAACACACATAACATGCATGTGTGCGTGCATACACACCCATGTGTGAGTACATGCAAATGAAAACACCCATATACAAACGCACATGTGCAACAAACACACGTGCACACACATGCATGCGTACCTAAAACACGTGCATACGCAGACAGGCACGTGTAGGCACTTTAAAGTCACACGCACATATGCCTGTGTCTGCATGCAAACACACGTGCTCATGCATGTGCACGCTAAGATATATACACACGAGACATGCACATGTGCGCGTGCATTTAAATACACGCCTAGTGGGTGCATGTCTGTATGCGCACATGAAGCACTGTGTGTACACTTAACACACACAGAGGCACGTGCACATAGAGAACGTGCCTACGACAGAGCTAGTATATGCACTTACACACCTCTACCCACTCACTCCCACTGCCAAATGCTAGCACGCACACTTGCACAACTGGTATACGTCCACACCCCTCACACACCCACACTTGCAGGCACACCACACACTCACTCTCCCACCCACCACTGCACACTAGCACATATGCTCACACACACTCCCACACCAATCCACATTCACACCCCTCATGCCCCCGAACTCACACCCACACATGTAACACATGCACATGCACACACTGCCATGTAATAGCACACACTTGCACACATAATCACACTCACCCAAACCACCACACACTCACACACGTACTCGCACTCACACACGGTTGCACACACACATTTGAGCTATAGCAGCAGAGGGCCTGACACTGGACTGGCTGGCTGGGATAGGACTGCAGATGGGGCTAGGACCGCACCTGGCCCACAGCAGGTGCTCACGGGTGATGCACAAGGAGCCATTGCATTTGCTTAGGTGAGGACCACCTGACCACCCGCTCTCCTGCATCGCCTTCCCTGCGTGGCCCCACCGCTCCGGCCTACTGCCCCCACCCTGCCGCTCCTCCCTGCTCCAGGGGGCTGCAGAGGGCATGTGGCAGGCTGAAACAGGTCCCTGAGTGTGGCAGGACCACACCCACACAACCCTCAGCTATCACAGCAGGAACCATCATCTGTGTCAGTACCCGTGTTCCTGCTGTGGCTGCCACCGTTCCCCTCCGTCCCGGAGCGGACACATGTGGTCACCTCTTCCCCACCATGCCCCCGCTCTCAGCATTAATCTCAGCCTGGCCTTACCGGATGTCAGGCTGCCCCCACCACCTTGGCTCTACCTGAACCCCAAGGGAAGCTTCTGCTCAACCCCAGTGTCCCCCAGTGACCGGGCCAGGGCCAGCGTGGGCCCACACTCCTCTCTGTGGTGGGACTAGCTGTCCCTTTCCAGCCCAGGCGGCTCTGGTCCAGGCCCTCGGTGCTCACATCTAGGCCTGGCAAGAGCCTCCGGGGGCGTTCCTGCTGCACTTGCTCCAAACAGACCTCGCCGACAGAGGCTGCTAGCACTGTGAGCTCTTCCCTGGGATGGCCTTGGCCTAAGCCTTTTATTATCCACTCACCAAATACTCAACGACAAGCCCATGATGGGGGGCACCCACAGTTCCTTCACTTCATAGATGCAGAAAGCAGAGCCCAGAGAGGTTAGGTAGCTCACCCAGAGTCACACAGCCAGGGAGGTATGGGGTGGGAAGAGGCCTGGGTTGTTGGACTCCAGAGCCGGGCTCCCCACCATCGCCCTCCTCTGGAGCTCCAGCTCCAGCACACTGTCCTCCAGCTCAAATCCTCCGGCAGGGTCTCCGGGTGGGCGACGCAAGCCCTCACTGCAGTCCCCAAATGCAGGGTTGACATTCCCAGCCCACTCCCCCTGAGGTGTCTCCTCCCTGTGCCCCCAGCATGCCAGGCTCAGCCTTGGGTTCAGTAGCCCCAGCCCACCTCCCCTAGGAAGCCTTCCCTGACCACCCGACTCCAAGGCTCTCGTGAGCTGGTGGGTGCTCTTGGGGTGAATGCTGCCATTTGTGATATAGGGTGAGAGAGGGAACGTCCGTCTGATGTCTCAGGCCTCTGACTCTTCCCTGTGGAGCCCTGGGCAGGGTTCAGAAGACCTGAGTTCAAATCCTAAGTTTGTCGTTTGTAGTCAGGATGGGCCCTGATCAGAATTTCTGAGCAGTTCCTAGGGCCTCTTGTGCACCTGCTTATGCTAGTGGCCCACTCCTCTGCCCATATTGTCTACCACGGTGAGCTCATTGCGGCTCCCCGGCCGTCTGGAGCCCGACGGCTCAGCACCTGCTGCTCTCTCTCCCAGGCCTCTTTGCCCTCTCACCTGCTGGTTCTTCCAGACTCAGTCCAGGTCTCCCTCTCTGAGAGACCGTCCCCGCTCCCCTCCACCATTTGGGTTGGATGCTTGTCTCCTTTAAGTGAAGGTGCTGATGTTGGTTGGTGCACCAGTCTCCCCTTCTCTGGGACTGGTGGTTTCTGGGGGTCCACGACTCGATCTGATTCATTACAGAGTCCCTCTCCCTAACTCCATGCCTGGCATGTCCCTGGGACATGCTTGCCAAACTGAGGTAAAATCCATGGGGCATTTGCCAAAATCAGGTGGATTCTCTGGACCATTTTACAAGACGAGACTACCACCTACATCTTGCCCACCTTCTGGATTTCATGAGCCTCAGATTAAAGCTGACACTGGAATGAGGGGCTGGGTGAGGCCTGCATTCACAGGTCTCTGCACAGGTGGACCCCCTTCCCTGCCTCAGACCCCGCTATGATCAGAGCATCGCCCATCTGCGGGTGTCAGCCCACTGCGCACGGGTCAGCGAGCCCTGGGTTAGCCCCTGCGGATCCCCGAACGGCACGGATCAGAGAGGTGGCCTGAGGGCACCAACACCGCTCACGCCTGCCCTGGACAAGTGGCTCTGCTCCCAGCTCCTCAGCATCTGCCCTGCGCAGGAGGCGCACAGATCCATTCCCTCCCACTGCTGGCCTTGGGGCGGTTGCCGTGACAACGGGCTACGCTCTAATTGGCAGAAGGCCACTGGGACGTGTATATGTTCCCGTGATTTCTCCTTGCTTTTTTCTCTCCATACTCCGTCCAGCATGATAAACGATAATAACACGTGCCCATCGACGACAGTAGAGTTACAATAAGCTCTCACTAATGATACACTGTAATGTAATAATGCTGATTTTCTGCTTTGCCTAGTTACTGATTTACTGCCATGCTGAAGAAAGGTTGCAAACACAATATTCAGCATGACCTCATTTGGGTTAAAAAAAAAAAATACAGCGCAAAGAGACCTAGGGGCGTGCTGCCCAATATGAGTGGTGGCTACTCTGGGTGGTCAGATAGCGCGTGGTATTCATCTTCTCCTGCGCTGCTGGGCTGCCCGGCAGCTGGGATCCTTCCAAGCTGCGGCAGGGATCAGGGGCCCCCTCTCGAGGCCCAGCACCGAGCACGGTGTCAGGCACGCAGTAGACGGAGAGACGAGAGAAAAAGCAGGGCAGAGCCCTGAGAGAGGACTCACGGTGAAGGAGTTCCGTGGATGTGCACCGACTGGGTGCTCACACCACCCTGATTTGGGGGGGGCGGACAGCCGGGGGGCTCTGGCCCGTGGCCTGCCTGGCACCCAGGAGGGTGCTTGGAGCCCACGTGTTGCCACAGGATGTGTGTGCTCTTGGGCGGGGGCTCCGAGGCTTCGCGCTGTGATGCAGATGACTTTCTGCAGGTCTCTGAGCGGCATCTGAGACGTGGCTGCAGCGACCCGGGGAGGCAGGAGGAAGCGGGGAGGGGTGCGGGGTGCATCGAATGCTCCACTGCACACCGCCGTGGGGCCTTTCCAGAAGCCGTGACCGCAGTGGCCAGCGTCACTGCTCAACACACGGTCACTACAGTACCTCGGTCCTTGTCAAACGCCAGATCGTTTAAAAGAGGAGCTCACGCCTAGTGAGCGGTCACCATGCGCCGTGTGGCCACAGCGGCCACAGAAGCCGGGCCCCCCGCTAAGCGCTCCACTGACCTTGTCTCATTGAAGTAACAGGAATCATAGTTAAGATCTTTCACGGCATTGACGGCACTGTAGGCCGCATTACGTCCTGCCAAGTCCGTATTTTGAAGCCCTCACCCCGGGGGCCTCAGGTGGGGCTGTGTTTGGAGATGGGGTCTCTTTACAGAGGTGAGTAAGTGGAATGAGGTCACGAGGGCGGACCCCGATCCCACCAGACTCGTGACCTTAGCAGAAGAGACTATAGGACGCGGACATGCACAGAAGGACGGCCCCATGAGGGCCCAGGAGAAGACTTCAAGCCAAGGAGGGGGGCCTCGGGAGAGCCAGCCCTGCCCACACCCGGGTCTCAGGCTCCCAGCCTCCCGGGTGCGGGGAGAACGCATTTCTGTGGCGGGAGCCACCTGCCCTGAGGGATTTAGTTGCTACGGTGGCCGAGCTACGAGCGCAGATGTCATACCGATCATCATCGCAGCGAGCATTTGCAAAGTCCTCCCTCTGGCCCAGGGCTGCACTCAGGGTTCCCACGCTGTCCCTCCACGGGCCCTGGACGGCAGGTACTGTGGGCCTCCTCTGGTACAGGTAAGCTCTCAGAGGCTCAGAGAGGTTCACTCCTCACCCAAGGGCACACAGCTGGTCTGATGACTTCATACCCCTTTCTGAGCCTCTCAGTGCACATTCACAAAGGGCCACGCTGCGATTCATCTCGGGGCTCGTGATCATCACGTTCCCCCAAGGACTAGAGTGCACGGTATTGCTACCCATCAGAATTAGGGTCAGGAATGACTCTGCACCCAACTAGTATGAGATTCAGGGCTGAAAAGGTGTCAGGAAGAGCAAATCCAACCCCCACTGTGTGAGAGAAAACAGAGGTCCTGGCCAGGTAGGAAGGGGATATGGGAGAAGTGACGTGCCCCAAGACACTTGCTGTTCTTTGCAGGGGCAGAGCCGGGCCCAGACACCCAGTCCAGGGCTTGCTCCTCCCCCAGCCTGCACTTAGAGCCTCAGACTCTTCCTCAGACAATGAAGTTTGCTACTCACAGGTGAATTAGCAAAAATACTCACCTCCCACTGCTGAACCTGCAGTCCACAGGTAATTGCTATTAAAGAGCTCCTGATCACTTTATACTTGTATGTGCACACACACATCCCCGTATGCACATGTACACCCCCCCACACACACTTGTACACACCTGTACACACACCCATACACACCCACACACACCCATACGCACACACACTTGTACACACCTGTACACACACACCCATATTCACACACACTTGCACACACCTGTACACACAACCCACACCTATATGCACACACCCATATGTACACGCACATATACACCCATATGAACACACACCCATATACACATGTACACACACACCTATATGCACACACACTTGTACACACCTGTACACACACCCTTGCACACACCCATACGCACACACTTGTACACACTCGTGCACACACCCATATGCACACACACCTATATGCACACACACTTGTACACACACCCTTGCACACACCCATACGCACACACTTGTACACACTCGTGCACACACACCCATATGCACACACACCTATATGCACACACACACTTGTACACACATATACCCCTTTTCGCGCACATGTGCACACACACACATACACTCTTTAATGAAAATGGGATCATGTAACATATTATCTTTAACACGCTTCTTGTAGGAACACGTTGGAAACACTTCCCAGGTTAACAGGTGCAGATCTGCACCGCTTCTGGCAGTGCCTGCCCAGTCCTACGTGAGCCTGAGTATTAGTTATTCAGACAAGCCCTAGCTGCGGGGCAGGGACGCAATACTGATTTGACAGCCCTGTGGACAACAGTTGTGAGCACATCTCTTTGGGCACCATCACTGTGTAACCAGCAGTCCCGGGTGGCACGACAGTCCTCACCGAAGGCTCCCAGCTAACCTCCAAAAGTCTGCACCGGCCTGTGCCCTGTGGCGGGGCAAGAGTGCCGGCCCCACACCCTGACACCTGAGGACACCCCAGCCCCCAAGGGCACCCCAGCAATGACCCAGGCCCGGACCGTCCCACCACCGGCCTCCCCACTCTCCAACTCACATAGATCACGCGGCTTGGAGACCCCGAGGTGCTGGAAGCAGGTACAGAAATGATGCTCTCGGAAGAGCTTCTGGTTTCCTGGAAAGGAGACAGGAGGAGAATGAAAGCAGAATATATCGATGCCAGAACCTTCCAGATGCAATTATCACAGGTCACACTCCAACAGAAATGCCAGTTATGAGACATTTTTTTTTTTGGCAGGTTGAAAGAATTCTTAAAATAAACACACAGGCTCGAATGAGCCGCTGGAAAGCTATAATCAGACAGACACAGCAGGTGACACGGGCTGCAAGCATAGCAGCCAGCTCTCTGCACGGCTGGAAATGCTCCGATGATCACCCAGCTTGCACGCGCGGAAATTATCTGTGTTTCCGAGGACAGAGCAAGTGATGCATTTTCAAGTGGTTCTGTGCGCTCCGGTAGCAAAGGCCACCCTTTTACCCAGAATGTTGCTGCTCAAAGGTATTATTTTCCACCTAGATCATGGGGGTGGGGGTGATTGCTCATTCTAGCAGCCTGGTCCTCCGCTGTCGGACTCCGCGGCCACATCTGTGACCTGCTCCTCGAACGTCCACCCCATCCCTCCTCCCCCAACTACATCTCCTGCTTCACCCCAGGGGACGGTTTCCCTGGCCCCTCCTCTGTCCCCTGCATTGGGGCCACCCATCCCTGAATGGACACCCTCCTTCTCCAGCTCCAGCTCTATGCCGGCATCTCTCCCCACCTGTAGGGCGTGACCTGGCGGCTGCCCACCCCGCCTGATCCAGCCTCCACCCCTGCCTGGACCACCCACTGCCTGGCTTTCCCATGCCTCCCCAGCCAAGGACGGGGACCTGCCTCCCCACCCCGCGGCAGCTCCCCCTGGCTGCCTCCTCTCTTGCCGCCATCCCTCTCGGTGGCCCGCGCCCCCTGCAGTGGTGTCAACAGCCTGGGAAGGGCCACGTTACAGGCCGAATTATGTCTCCTGAAACTCATATGTTGAAGCCCTCACCCCTAGCACCCCAGAATGTGACCCTGTTTGGAGAAAGGGCATTTAAAGATGTAATTAAGGGGAGATGAGGTCACTAGAGTGGGTTCTGATCCAAGCTGACGGGGGTCCTCAGAAGAAGAGGGGATCAAGACACAGACATGCACAGAGCGACGCCCGTGTGAGGACACGGGAGAGGGCAGCCGTCTACATGCCACGGAGAGACGCCTCGGAAGGAACCAACCTGCCCGCACGCTGAGCCAGGACCCTCAGCCTCCGGACTGGGAGAGAATACATTTCTACTAGTTGAGGGACCAGCCTGCAGCATTTTATGCAGTGGGCCCAGGACACTATCCTGGGCCGTGGAGCCCTCCCCTCCCAGCCAGAGGACCCCCAGCTCCCCCTTCACTCCGCAGGGTAGCAGCAAGGACAGGACATCGGGGGCAGACGGGGGGCCTCTAAGGCCCCGGGGAGCCTGATTGCGGCCCTGGTTGTGCATCTGGGGAGGAAAGAGAAGACGGAGAGAGTGTGATGCTCGGGGTCACCTCCTCACTCGCCCACACATCGGTGCTGGTCTGTCACGTGGGGGCCACCCATGCTCCCAGTGACGGCCAGCTTCCTCCAGGACCAGGCATGGGGCCGCCCACTCCCCTTGGGGCCTGCCCTGCCTCCCAGGGCCCCAGCTGTGCCCCAGCGCTGGACGGGGCACGGACCCAGGGCTTCCGAGGGCCAGTGGGACACAGCCTGACCCCACCGTGCAGTCTTGAGTCCTCAGCCTCCCCCAGGTGAGACACAGCTTCCCAGACTGTTTGCAGAGAAGATCCCGACACAGCTAACAGGTGTGCGTCTCTCCCAGGCCCTGTGTGCAGGTGGCCCATCTTGCCAGGCCCCAAATGAGGTCCGTACACATTTTATACCTTTGGAAAAAACCCTTTCAGTCTCTGCTTCCTTCTCTATAAAAGGGAAAAACCTCCCTAGAGGGCACTTTCCCTTTCTGAGGATCTGACTAGAGCTATGACATGCTGGGGGCCCAGTGCTGGCAAATCATCTTTGCTGTTACTTCAGCTCAGCTTGGGCTCAGGACAGTCTGTAAAGCAGACTGACTCTGGGTGTTTTAAAGGAAGGGGTGCCTAAGCGGCGTGACCCAAGGACTGCCCCGTGCCTGAGGAGCCCCCTCCCGGCCCGGGGGCGCCACCGCCATGACCAGGGTGCCTGGGCTGCCTCAGTGGCCGCGGGGGCTGGCTGTGCTCCCCAGGGCATCCCCAGCGGGCAGCCCCTCCCCTCTGTGCCCTGTCCCCAGACGGGAGGGAGCCAAGTTCTGGGAGCTTCCTCCAGGGCCCGGAGACCCAGCTTCCTCTCACTTTCTATCTGGACTCCAACACACCCAAAGGAGCCTCACAATTAATCAATACCCAGTTGTGTTCTCAGGGGCTTGTTCACACCCCCAGAGACAGACGGGGCCGGGCTGCTCGCCCAGCCCCAGCACCATCCCCAGCCTGGCCCGGACAGGCACCGTCCTGTAACAGCGACTAGGGCACCTAGCTTTAAATGGAGAGGAGCGGGTGTTGGACCCCTTGCACCGTGTCAGGGTGACTTGTATGTGACCCTGTGAGAACCAGGTCGCCCGTCTCAGGCATCTCTGCGTTCCACCAGCTAGCCAGAAGGTACTCAGCAGGAGCTCGGTGGCTAGCCGTGTGTGGAATGATCACACGACCCAACGACCAAGGATGCACCAGGTCCGCGCCCTCAGCGGACACCCAGGAGCCATCCTTGTCCTGGGGAGTGGCCATGCCCCCGGGGGATGCAGTCAGGGAGGACAGAGGGCCCTCCCTCTCCTAGCCTGTCCCTTGCAGGGATCCCGGCGCTGGCCTGTCCTGCTGGAGAGGAACTCGGAGGCACAGACCGACCTGGTCCTATGGGTCCCGGAGCCTGGCAAGGGGGGGCACTTGTTAAATGACTGGTTACTGGTCAGTTAATGGTGAATTAGCTATTGTCTGGATTACCAGGTAGCAGTAGAACCAGCTCCACCCGGGGGCCGCTTTCCGAGAGAGTTAGCGATGCCCGCACCACCTCTGCTGCGTTTCTCAGGGGCCGGCCTCGGCGAGCGGACCAGGGGCCGACCCGGAGCTGACCCGGGACTGGCTGTTTCATGCTCCTTAACCGGCCTGCACCAAATGAACAGTACAGGAAAGTACAGCTCCGTCGTTCTGTCTTGCAGGCCAGGGGCAGCCAGTCCAGCCGGGAGAACTATCTGCAAGGGGACCCGTGTGCCAGCCCCGTCCGCTCACTGCCGGCCCCGCTCTGGGTCTGTTCTCACTTCTCTGAGACAGAGGAGGCTCTGAGGGGCCGGAGGGAGGGAGGGAGGGTGACATGCAGGACAAGCCGGCATGACCGGGGCCTGGATCCTGTCCCAGGACACAGAGGGCAGGCCCTGTGTGCGCCAGCCTCGGGCACAGCACCAAGGAGGCAGCTCTTCTCAAGGGACCGCCTCGGCACCAGACGTTCCCGGGGCGTCTGCAGAGACATAGCCCAGGAAGCCAGGCCTGGCTGTGCAATGACCCTTTCCTCCTTCCCCGTCCGGCATTCAGACGACCTCCCTACCTCTGGGCCAGTGGCCGCGGTCATGGCGGGCTGACCTCTGGGCTGAGAGCAGAGGGGCCTGCTGCTGCCAGGCCTGGCCAGAGCTGGGCTCCCTGCAGGCCCCGAGGCCAGCTCCACGGCCGGCCCCGGAATCCAGGGGCAGGGCTGGCCGTCCCGACCTGTCCTTGAGTGGGCCGGCCGCGGGCCTGAGTCCGCCTTTCTCACCCAGTCATTCTCAGAAGATGGGCCTGGAGGCTTCTCAGCATGTGGGCTCCCTCCAGGTCCCTCTGGCAGGCCCTCGGGTTGGGATTCGGGGAGGGGACCACTGACAAGTGTCAGGACCCTGCAGTCACTTCTAGGTCAGGGATGCTTCCTGGCTCATCTCTGAGGCCTGGAGTAGCCCGGGGGCGGTTATAGAGGGGATCAGGAGCTATGTCAGCCATGGGAGACCAGGGTGCCCCTGCCACTTACCGTGACCCAAGTCGTGTACATGACCAACTGGGCATTTCCTGCCCTCCACGAGCACATGAGCATGCCCATGCCTGCGAACGTATTACCACATGCGACCACAGGGACTCCGAACCTGATGTGACTAAGGAGCCTGAGGTGGGAGGTCACTCCCGATGACGTGGGTGGGCTCCCTGGGATCTCAGGTGAGGAGGGCACGGGGGAGGGGGTCAGGGCACAGGTGGTGACAGAGGCAGGGTCAGGAGCAGACCGTGCGGCCTCCAGACCCGGGAACGGAGGGGGAGAAGTTTGTTCCTGGAGCTTCCAGAGCGAGCACGACCCCCCCCACCCATCCTCAACTTCTGGCCTCCGGAAGGAAGGGAGTACATCTGTGGTTCTTTAAGCCACTAAATGTGTGATCATTCGTCACAGCAGCCCCAGGAACAAATACAGTCACCAGCTTCCTCCCGTAGTCTCCATGCTCTGCGTCCCTGGAGCTGGGAGGTTGGCTGTCACGTGGATCTCATGTTCACACAGCTCCACCCCCCCCCCCGGACGGGCCTCATCTTGCACATGCTCAGTGCGAGCACCCTGGGCCCCCTGGCAGTGGGGGGCCTCGGGGCCCAGGCAAGGGGCGGCAACCGTGGTCCCAGAGATGGAGGAGCAGGGCCAGGGGGAAGGTGGGGCAGGCGCCCTCGGCCCCAGTCCCAGTGTTCTGGAATTCGGGCTACAGTTCTGCGAATTCAGCCCAACTGGTGGCAGGTGTCATCTGTGTGTCTGGGGAGCAGTGGGCCTGGCCACCGGATCCCCCCGAGGTCCTTTCCCAGGCTGTGGGGCTTCCTGTGCCCCTTGCTTCCTTTTGCATGGTCTGAGAGGATACTCGGGTGATGGAGGAGCAGACACAGGTGCGGCCTAACCCAGGGTGCAGGGGCCACAGACCTGCCCTAGAGCCCCTTGCCCCTGCACTGCAGCTCCTGCTGCTCCCTGTACCCCGGGGCTGGGACGCCCGGGCCTCTAACCCTCAGGGCCCCTCCCTGTCTGCACCCCCAGGCCCGTGGCTTGAGCAGCATCCAGCTGGAGGTCTGTGCCCACCATGGCTAACGCGGGGGCTCTCCAGGCCAAGCACGCCTTCTCTCTGTGGGCATCAAAGGGGACCCTCTGAACCTGGATTAAACCAGAGGCCTGTGTAGACACTTGAGGACTCTGAGCAAAGCAACCGGCACCACTTGAGAAATAAGGTCACAGATGAAGGGCAGGGCCGGCCCTAGAGAGGCGGGCCCAGCCTGGTGTCCACAGAAAGGGGTTGAGCAACAGCGTGAGGCTGTCGCAGGTGAGGGAGGCCTGGGGGACACAGGGGAGGTGCCTCTTCTCCAAGGAGCCCTCCTGCCCCGGCCCAGGGCCCCCTGGTGCTCAGGTCCCCATGGCCATCATACGTGACGAGCATGTGGGGGCAGGACTCCATCACCTCCCTGCCCTGGGCCAAGAGCAGGGCCTGGCACAGCCAGAGGCTTGGTGAGGTTGTGCTGAATAACCGAGGGTGTGCCATGAGAGATGCATGGGAAGCGGGGGCTTCCAAACCCACCGGAAGCAATTTCTAAGGGAAATGGGGGTTGTCCCTCTGCTGGCTTCCTTCTGGGTTGGGACCCACCCATCCGCGGGGGCTGGTATGGGGAGGGTCTCCTCCACCAGCCAACATCCCTGTGAAGCTCAGAGGCCCAAGTCTGTGGGGTCTCCCTCCAGCCCCACGAGAAATTCCCAAAACCTGCTAGTTCTGGCGATGGGACCAGCTTGGGCTTGCTGATAGGGCTGTGTCCACGCTGTAGAGCTAAGGGTGAGGGGTCTGTCCGCCCTGCCTGGGGCCCTGCCTCCAGGACCGCCAAGTCTCATCCTGCAGGCTTAGCTCCGACCCCATTTCCTCCAGAGGCCTTTCCTGACCGTGCATCCTGCCTCCCCTCCTCCCGTCCACTGGCGTCCTCGGTCTCCCACCACCAGCCTTCGCTGCAAATTTGCTTGTGTAGGGGTCAATTTCTGTCTCTCCCTGGAATGTCAGTCCCGAGAGGACAAGGTCTGTGCCCACCTCCTTCCTCACCTGTGCCTGGCGCCCAGCTGGGCCTCTGAGCGGTAGAGAATTTGGCCTCGCCCAGAGAGAGGTCTGGCCTGCACCCTTGACCCTGGAAGGTGATCTGCGTCCACTGTCAGAGTGTCCGTTCATGGAGGGGGTTAACCACACCCAACAGTCTTAGGATGGGGCCCGGCCACACTGGAGAGACCAACCGTGTGACCTGGGGTGGTCTAGGGTCATGCCACCTGGACCTAGTGAAATCAGCACTATGGCCATCAGTCAGTCAGTCAGTCAGCCAATGGAGCCCCAGTAAGATCTCTGGACACAGAGCTGCCCTGCTGGGCAATACTCCGGGCATGCGGTCCTACACAGGCCGGCGGGTCCCCCGTCCAGTCTCCAGGGCAGAGGAGCGGCTCTGTGTCCGGCCCCTCCCAGACCCTGCGCCACACGCCTCTGTCTTTGGCCCACTCCACGCATATTCTCTCCTGTGATAAACCCCAGCCGTGACTATCATAGTTTTCAGGGAGTCTGTGAGTCCTTCCCACGAACGACTGAGACTGATCACAATTTGGGGCCCCTCAACCTTGCAGTTGGTGTCCCAAGTGTGGACGGTCTGGGGACAGTTTGGAGACCCGCTCATGTCATAGCTGTCCCCAAACTTTTGCAGCCCTCATGCCCTCTGGACCCATGGAGAGGTCGCGGGCCAGGACAGGGAGGCCCCGAGACGTCCCGCCCCACCTTGCACCGTCCTCAGCACCCCCAGGCCTCATGACACCTGGCCCGTGGCCTGGTGTGACCGGCCAGCGAGCCGTCAGACGCGGGTGACAGCACACGGGCGCCGAAGAACGCACTGGAGCAAGTAGTAAATTCCACCAACCTTGTTTTTGTCTTCAGTTCTGGCTGCTTGTCGGCACGCCGGGTGCCAGATGGAGGAACCTGCGGACAGATCCCCAAGAGGGAGGGCTCAGTGTTACTTCCCACGATGCAGACACTGTGCAGAGAGTCAGAAGCGGGGAGCTGGTAGTCCACATGCGGACGCTCTGCCGGAGAGGGTGCTGCGTCTTGGGCAAGCAGATGGCCGCCTGGCTCCAGGGGCTCATGGCCCAGTTTGGGGGGCCGGGGATATACAATGAACGGGAAACGCATCACTGTGAACACTGGGGACACCCGGGGTGCCCAGAGGAGGCTCCTTGGAAGACGGGTGTCAGGTGGCTTCTCGTTCAGAGGCGGGGGAGAGAGGACAGGCTGCCCATGGCTGCGGGGGTAGCAGCCAGGCCCAACCACGGGCACGGCTGGGGCTGGGGCCAGAGCTGGGGTGGGAACCAGCCTCGGGAATGGGAATGAGGCTGGGGGGCAGGAGGAGGAACCTCAGGTGGGAACCGGGGAGTGGGGTGAAGAGCAGGGCCGGGGGGCTGGGGGCCAGGCCTGAGGCTCCAGCACCGAGCTTGACTCTCTCACTGACTCCCTGGGTCCTGAGACCGATCCTGCCTCAGTTTCTTCAGCAGCCAGTGTGGCCCCGCCACCCACGCCAACATCCAGCACCATCAAGGTAGCAAGAGCACCAAGGGCCCCACGTGCCCTGCCCTTTCCTCACTCGAACTCAGGTTCTCCAGGTGTCAGATTTTCCCCATCTGCAAACAGGGCTGATAACGTTCCTCGCTCATCAGGCCAGTGGGAGAATTCGATGAGGTAAATCTGGGGTAATAACACACCGGAACGGTGCCTGGTGAACCGTGGCATAGGCGTTCGCTCTATGTATGTCCAGTGCGGGTAGGCTTGGCGCGTGTCAGCCCTCCCTGCGCCCCATCTTTCAGGGCCCGGAGCACCTGCTCTCCCTCCGGGGCCTCCCTGGATCTCAGCCTGGCCCTTCGCCCCCTTGGCTGCCGCAGCTCTGTGTCTAGGTTTATACCCCATCAAGGAGGGGGCTGTGTCTGTTCCGTGCTCCCCCCCCACCCCGCCCAACAAGCCACACAGGGCCTGGCACGTGAGAGGCACTTAAAAGTGTGTGTGAAGGAAAGAGCGACATCCTATTTCTTGCTTGCAAAGCCTTCCAGGTCACATGAACTAATGGCTGGGAGGGCAGTTTATTACTGCCTCGCTCTGGCAAAAAGTCTGCATCAGCCTGGAGCTCCTGGGGAGACCACGGTTTGGGGTGTGTGTGTGTGTGTAAAACATTCATTTTTGACAACTATGATTACCAAAGTAATAGGTAAGTCATTGATATTCCTTATTAAAAAAGACACCCAACAAAGTATAAATAAGAAAATTAAAACCGCCTATAACTTCTGAGCCACTCTGCTCAGGCAGCTTTTTAGCATTCCTGTGCATTTTTCAGAGAATGTGGATAATGTTGTACGTAGTTTTATGTCCTACGATTTTTGTTTAAAGTGTCTAGAACGTTTCCCCCATGTAATTAAATATCAGAAGCATAACCGTGAAGGCCATGCAACATCCCACCACATGGAGAGAGGAGGATTTATCCGTCCCTCGCATGCTGGTTGCAGTGTTTTATTTCTAAAGTCACGTTGGTGGGGGTGGGGGGTTCCATGGCATGCAAGTCCCAGCACACCCCTGTCATTCACTCAAGGACTTCCTAGAAATGGAGCCGTGTGGACATTAAGGCTCTTGATGCATTCTGACAATTTCCCAGTTTTTGCCACACCGGCCAGGTAGGAGGCCCATTTCCTTGATTCCTCACAATGGGGACACGACCTTCCTTTTAGTCCTTGTCAACCCAATGGGGGAAAGTAGTATCTAATTATTCTTTTCATCTGGGTCTCCCTGATCATTACTGAGCATCAACAGCCCCTCCCCTATATTTACTGGAAAGGTGTGCCCCATGGTAGGTGGTGCTGGTGGTAGCGGGGAGGGGGCGGGCTGCCCCGTCCTCCTCGAAGGCCGAGAGGCTCACTGGGACCCCTGCTTTTCAGAGCTTCAACTGTACGGGATTCACCTGTCAGCACCTTCCTGGAGCTCCAACATCCAGGTGGACCAGGCAGAGGGTCTCAGGGTGTCCAGGCTGGGCGGGGGCCAGACCCCCCCCCCAAAGAGGCCCTGGCCAGTGTTCCAACCCAGGTCCAACCCTTGTCACACCAACAGGGAAATCTGAGGCTGGGAGAGGGGATGGGACTGGCTTCCATATCCCATAGAAAGTCATGGCAGGACTCGCTTTAGAAACGGGGTACCAGTCACAGCCCAGAGACATGAAGAGCGTCTTTATTCCCTGAGACTGGGTCCCTCTTGATGGTCCTGTCCCTGTGCTGCGGTCCCAGCCCATTGTGCTGGGCATCAGAAAGGCCTGAAAGCACTATTTACAGTGGGGGCGAAGCTGGAGGGGGCCCCCTCCCGCCCAGACGTCCCAGCAGCAGTGGGAAGGGCGCAAAGGACCCCTTTCATGGGCTCTCAAGCAGAGACTCAAGGAACAAGGGGGACACCAGGGACGAGGCCGGCCTCGCGACGTCATCCCACGAGGCTGGGCTCAGAAAGGCAGGCCTGTGTGACACATAGCCCCAAGACGACCGCCCCATGAGGTCATGAAACAGCCCGTGTGTGGCTCTCCCATCCGCCCAGCCCTGCTCGGCCTGCCTCCGGGGTCACTGGACACAGATGGATCATTGAATAGAAACAGTGGCTGCAGAGATGGGGTCTCCAGACCAACCCATCGTCTTGGGGAGGGGCTGAGCAGCCCTGGGCTGTCACCAGGTCCCATGGCTCTGCCTCCCACATGTTGCCACCGGGCTGGGTGGGGGGGCTTCCCAGCTAGAGAGGTGACACAGGCTACCCACCAGTTCCCACCCAGCAACGGGGCACGGGCCCAGGGCATGTTCCTGTCTTGCCCTAGGGGACAGGGCAACGTGGTTTTGTCCTTACCTTGAAGATACATCTCCTCGCCTTCCGCAAACATCCGGCCGCACCGGACGCATAGCGCACACAGTGGGTGGTAGTGTTTTTCTCCTGCCTGTAAAGACAACAAAACAGAGGTGTTTCTACCGAAGCTAAAGGGGCCACGGAAGCAGCCACACTTGGCTGGTGGGTACAGTGTGCCCACATGAGGGGTCCTCAGAGAATGCTAAGTGTGTGCTATGTCCCATATCCACTGGGGTCTCAGGATGGCACCCGAGAGAGCCTGGGTCCACTGGGTGCCCCCGGGCTGTCCAGGGCACTAGGTGTGGAAGCAGGCCACATGCCCTGGGCCCACGTGAGCCAGGGGCCACATTTGGGAGCAGAGACCCAGCTGCACCACCCGACCTCCAGGCGAGCAGGGGTGTCACCCAGCTCCTCCAGCCCAGTGGTTGATGGATCTGCCTCCCTCATGGGGCAGGGAGGCCAGGTCCTGTCCGTCTCTGTACCGGAGTTGGGGGCGGGGGCAGCGGGAGAGGGCAGAGGGGAGGCCGAAGCCAACGTGACTCTCCAGGTGCAGGCACCAAAGGTGTGGGCTGTCTTACGCATCTCCCTATTGCTCAAATTTCTCAATTAGCATTTACTGTTTTTATAATCCTTAGCATCCATTAAATTAAATGCAAAGATTAACACAGACCTAACGTCAACTAATCACATTGGCTGGCGTGGCATAATTCCGGACGGCACAGAAGAAGCGCCCCAAACTATCGTACTCGGCACCCCTCCACGGTAATATTGTTAGCGTTGGGGTAAGGCGGGCGGCAGCCGGCTGCCGGCCGTGGTGCTAACGCCACATTTCAGCCTTCCCTGACATGGGAAGATCCGATGACCGCTTCCTGAACGTGAGTTAGTAATAGCACTTCCGCGGATGAGCACGTGAGGGGGTCAAATGCACACACGCATCTCACTCTCCTGAGCAGTCGGTGAGCCCCTGCCCCAAGGCGACCCCTGTGGGGGGAGGAGGGATCCCGAACACGCTCCTCTCCCACGTGATGTGCCCCGCGGCACAGCCTGCCGATGCATCCGGGCGACGGGATTCTTCCCGGGGAGTGCGGGGATGCTGCGTCCTGCATCCTCCGTCCTCCCGCCTGCTCCGGAGCCTCCTCCCGATCCCTCCGCTGGGAGCACCTGCCCCCGCTCCACCTGCCGGGGCCCTCCCTGTTCTTTATCGCAGCTCAAATGCCGCCTCCTCCTGAAAGCCTCCCCCGCACACATCCCTGGTCTGGGCTCCTGCTGGTTTCTTCTTCCCCACTAGACAGGGAGCCCCTGGGGGCCACGCCTACCCAGGGCCACTTCCGGAACCGCTGGCTGGCAGGTCCTTTCCAAGTCGAGGGTCACAGGGCAGCACGGGCCCAGCCGAATGAGGGCGAAGCAGTCATTTCGGCGATTTTAAGCATTGTGACCTCTGACCTGTCCTCATGGCTGCGTCACCCAGGCCCCCTTCCCACTGGTGGGGGACAACCCTCATGATCTCAAACAGCAGGAGCTCTGCAACACCACTGAGGGAGACAGACCCAGGCATCTACACGGGGCGTCTACACCTGAGTAGGAGGAGAGAGAAAACCGTGGGGACGGTTTCTAAGACGACAGGCTTGAAATCCCAACCGCACGGATGAGAATTGACACAGAGCGGAGATGCAGCCCCGGGCCGCTGTGAGGGGCCGGCCCTGCATACACAGTCTTGGGCCTTCAGGGAAGCACTCCCACCCAGACCTGGCAAACGTCCCCAACCCCCCAAAATAACAGCAACTCCACCACCGTTTCCACAGCTCGAGCCGAGGCCCTTTCACACGCTACCTTGTCTTCACCCTCCAGAAGCCCTATGAGCTACATTATTACCCTCATTTTCCACACGGTGCACAGAGAGGTGGAGGGAGCAGAGGAAGGTCACACAGCACGGAGCTGGTGGAGCAGGACTGGAGCCCAGGAGCGTGGCCCCTTGTGGCCTCCCAGCCCCCAGCCTGGCGGTCCCAGCTCTCGGGTGCTCACCCCAGCCTCACCTGCTCCCCAGTCCCCGCCCTGGACAGTCCACAGGGAAATCCTGAGATATCCAGGAGGGAGGAAAGAGGCAGACACTGGAGAGCACAGATTACATTCACGCGAAGTGCAGAACCAAGCTGACGAGTCTCCTTTATTAGAGTCGGGGAGGCGGCCGCCCTGGGGTTCCCGGGGGCTGGGCATGTTCTCCTTCTTGATCTGGGTGCTTGTTACACAGATGGGTCCGGTTTGTGGACACTGATCAAGCTGTAGGATTCGTGTAGGATTCATGTAGGATTCGTGCACACCTCTGTGTGTGTGACACGCCAGCAAGACCCACAAAGTAGACTGATGACTGAAATTAAGAGCTAAAACTATAAATCTCTTAGGAGAAAACAGGGGTGCATCTTCACCACCCCAGGTTTGGCAGTACATTCTTGGATTGGGCACCAAAAGCATGAATAGCAATAACAAAAATAGGTATGTTTTTTCTCACAAATATCAAACTATTGTGCATCTGAGGATGTGGTCGAGAAAGTGGAAAGACAGACTGTGGAATGGGAGGAGACGTTTGAAATCCTAGACCCGGCTTAACATCTGCAACATATAAAGAATTCTTACAGCTCAATGACAAAGAGACAAACAGTCCACTTAGAAAGTGGGCAAAGAACTCGAATAGACATTTTTCCAAAGAAGACACACAAGTGGCCAAGGAGCACATGCCAGATGCTGGATGTCACCGTCACGGAGGAAGGGTAAGTTCAAACTGCCATGAGACGCCACTCCACTCCCTATAAGACAGGACACCAGAGTTCTGTCTCCACCATGTGAAGGCACAGGGAGAAGGTGGCCGTCTGCAGTGCAGGCAGCGGGCCCTCCCCAGGAACCGAAGAGGCCGGGCCGGCACCTGGACGGCAGACTCGCTGCCCCCAGCACGGACAGGAACGCTGCCTGGGGTTTCAGTACCCAGGGCCCAGAATGGCTGCAGCAGCTCCAGCAGACTAAGACCTGCTATAGAGTCCAAAGTCAAAGCGCCCTGGCTCCTTGTATCGGGCCCCATGGTCACTCCCGTCCTCTCCCCCGGTGGCCATGGTGACCGGATGTTCCACGTCATCCTGAGGCTGCTGCAGCCCCTGCCCTTTCAGAGCCTCTCCTCCCCATTCCCGTGCACTACGGGCCAGGAGCGCCAGCACCTGGAGTGTGGTCTGTGCAACCACACAGCCCCCAGCCGGGCAGATGGCCCAGCCCTGCGCCAGGTGGGTCTCAAGATGGCTTGGATTTCTGAAGAATACTAAAAGCTCATGAGCTTCTGCAGCGCGTGGTTTTAAAGTGACGTGTGTGCCTCCGACAAGGGGCTGTCATCTTCAATAAGACAGAACAAGGCTCATGAGGAACGCAGGAAGGCGGGCTCCAGGGGCCTAGAACAAGCACTGCTCCTTACTCAGGACCAAGTCAGCGCGGGGGGACTGGAGCATGTCCCACCGCCGACACACAGGGCGCGGCCAGCCCCGGGGACTCGGGCAGTGTCTCTGGGCTCCAGAAGCTCCCACCCCACACCCGGCCGTGGGCAGCACAGAGGGACACGCCCTGCAGGGGTGGGAGGCAGGCGTCCCTGGCCCCTTCCGCTCCCTGGACAACAGGCTGCGCCCCCGCGGCCCTCCGCGTGCTCCCCTGGATGCCAGGCTGCGGAGGGCCTCCCGTGCCACTCCCGTGCCTCCACCGGCCCGAGGCACAGCTCCAATGTCCTTGTTGAGCAGCCAGAACTGACTCCAGGTCTGAAAAGACCTCATCTCCAGTGTGCGCTGAGATGATGAAATGTACCGCAAAGCTAATGAAAGCCTTCAGCGGAGTGTTTGGCAGCTGCGCAGACTTCCCGGATCGGCTCCGTGACCTACGACCCCCCAGGAGCTACGTCCCCCCGCCCTGGGAGAAGAGCCCAGCTCCTTACACGCAGGCCCTGCAGGCGAAACCCTGTGCTATCGGCAGCCCCCTCCCCAGAGCCCCTGACCTCACCCCTGCCACTGTCCCCCCGTCACTGACCCCACGTGTTCCCTCTCGGCTTGGGGTCTCTGCCGTGGCGCAGACACTGTGCTGTGCATTTATCTGTGTATGTGTACACACAATCTAGAACGGTGATTTCTAAGTGCTAACAGTAGTTAGTCTGGGGGCTGGCGTTCATTATGGATGATTTTTCTGTTTATTTTATGATAAGCAGGTATTGCTTCTGAATGTTTTTTTTTTAAATTAAACACATTCATCAAATTACAAAAAGAGAGGGAGAAATGGGGCCTTGGGAAGCTGACTTGGTTTCCGTCCTGAGGAAATGGTTTTCTTTCTTTGGAACATATTTTCTCCCATTGATAAAAGTCATACCTGCTTAGGAGGGTAAAATGGAGCATGCCAAAGGAAGAGGGATGTCCTGTAGCCCCAGGGGATGGTTTATTTGAAATGGAGAAATGTTTAGGGGCTGCCTGACCCAGGGCAGGAGCTGCCTGTGAGGCCCCCCTCCCACCAGGGCTCCTGGGCGGCAGGGGGGGGGGGCGGGGGCGGCGCGGTGCAGGCTGGGAGCCCAGTAGCCACCAGCTCGGGACAGGGGACATAGGGAGTGTTCAGAGGGTCTGTAGGTGAGTGGTGGGTTAAGGAAGAGAGAAGGGAAGGCGGGCAGGGGGAGGGAGAGAGGGAAGGAGGAATTAATTAGTAGTCCCAGAGGGACCCTGGGCTTCTCGTTACCATGGAGACAGGCAGGCTGCACCATGCAGGTGAGGTTTAGACAGCAGCACCAGCACTGCAAGGGTTAAGGAGGGCAGGGCCCTTCCCTTCCCCGCCCCCGCAACTCCCACCTGTGCAGGGAAGCTCGCAGAGAACAAGGCAGGGGTGGGGCGAGGGCTGAGCCAGGAACTCCCCTCGCCCCCCTCACTCAGCACCCCCTTATGGAACTCTGGGTCTAGTTGGTCTGGTTACACCGCTGTCCAGGGCAGACAGTCCCATAGCCACCTCTTAGCTCTCTCCGTGGGGGATTCCAGCCATGCAGAGGACCACCCCAGGCCCCCCACCTCTACCCCCACACCCCAGCCCTCCCCACACTCCCAGCCTTTCATCCATCTCGGCAATAGGGTGGGGGCAGACAGCCCCTCCCAAGTCCCCCCCAGACCCATGAGGCTCCTTCACCTGCTCCCCAGCATGGAGCAGCCTCCCCAAGACAGACACCCTGAGACACGCAGGATCGGGGAAGACACCGGGAAGACAGTGCTACATATTTAGGAGTAACTAAGGAAGGGGGAGGAAAGGCCCCACCGTAGCCCTGGGATGCACATTTCACAGGGGGACATGCAGGCGCTGCTGGCAGCTGGCATCAAGATGGCACTGTGCCCGCCGCACACAGACGCAGCACAGATTGCTGGCTCTGCTGGCGGGGAAGGGGGCCTGGGCTGCTCTCCTGCTCGGGCTCCGAGGACAGGAAAGCTCGGAGTGGGACAAGCATCTGGTGGGGGACAAAGCGGGGGGGGGTGACAGGTGCCCCAGGGAGCCTCACCTGGCCCATCTGTCCCAGCTCCCTGAAAGCCCACCCACCTGCAACCCCGCATGGCTCCTGCAGCCTCCCCATCAGCCCTCCGAAGCGCCTGGCCAGGCCTCCTACCTGCACGGGGTCCTCGCAACAGAGCCCAGTCCGATCGGCCAGCCCCCACAGCCCCTCTCCAGTGCCCGCTCCCCAGGCAGGTCGGACGGAACGGGCAATGTGACCGTGAGGACGGGCACGCTCAGCCTTCAGACAGAGGTCTGGATCCTGTTCCTTCTTTTTCAGATCCTGCCACCTACTGCCCCCGAGAGCCCACTGCCCGCCCAGCAGGGCGCTGGCACACCCGGGGCCAAATTCAGGTGGTGGCGAGGGGGGGGGCGGCGGCTCCCCGCCTCCGGAATCGGGCTCGTGTCTGCCCGCCTGCAGCTGCCGCCTGGCAAAGGAGGATGCTCAGAGCTTTGCAGAACCCGCCGCCGACTCAGCCACGCCAGGGAACTCGCGAAAACAAAAGCATTAATCTTCCCTGGGAGGCCCTTTATCCCCCACCACTGACAAGGAGGAAAATCCAGACCTGTTTTTCTCCTGTTCTCCGTCATTAAGATGGTCCCTTCCTGATGATAAACCGGAGCGCACTGGAGGGGCTCCGTTCGCAGGCACTGAACCCCCACATTCTATATTTGGCCCAGCATTAAATATCAGGGACACACAGTGCACATGGGGTCACCCATCCAGGGGAGGCCCACTGATTACCTGGTGACAATAAGGAAGCCCCTAACCCCCAGTGTTTACCACGGGGCCAGCACTGAGCTGGGGGACACTTCACAGACCATGTCTCATTCAATCCCTGAGGTACTGGGATGTTCTGTTGCTCAGCACAGAGCTTGCTGAGGGCAGGCAGCAAGGTTGGGGTCAGGTCTGCCCCCCCGCCCCCACGGTGCAGGGGCCGATGCCAGAGGGTGCTAGGAAGCAGGTCAGGCTAGGCTCACACACCAGCAGCAACAGCAGCTCAGCCCACCTGAGCCTGAGATGCACCCCACTTTCTGCCATCACAGGTGGCACGGTGCTAAAACAACAGGCAAACCGGCGTCTACACCTGGGGAGAGGCCGCACGGTGGGGAAGGAACAGGAGCCAGGAGCCTGGGGATCCCGGGTTCAAGTCTGGCTCTGCCACCTGCTCGGGGTGGTCGATGGTCCAGCACACGTGTGTGGGAGCCCAGGAGAGAGTAGAAGGTCTGGACGGGGAACAGAGACACGTGGTTTGAACCATTGGCAGTGGGGCAGGCGGGTCCCTGTCCCTAATATTTAGAGCGCCATGGGGTCCTGGAAGAGGGTCATAGTCTCCATCCACCTAGTCAGAGGATGTGGGTGTCAATATTACATCACCACCCAAGACGATACATTCAAGATGCCTGCAGACTAGCTTCATCGTGTGACCCACAAGCGCAGACGGAGCTGAGGACCATGAAGACCCCACCCCATGAAGACCCGAGCCCCGTGGAAGCAGGCAGCATGTGGGAAGTAGCTAATGAAGGCGCTGGGGTCCATTCAACCGTCAGAGGGACCGGCATCAAGGGACAGAAGGAAGTCATGAGGGTGAGGACCCACGTTCTCAGCTGCAGCCCGGCACGATTTCATAGACTACACTCCCCGTGGGGGCGGGGCACCACACTCTGCCAATATATGAGCTATGTTCCAATACAGCTGCTTAACCAAAAGGCCCGATGTACCCAAAACACACCAAAAAAAAAAAAAAAAAAACCAAAAACAAAAACAGGGGAACCTGCTAACTAGGAAATGTGAATTGGACAAACTCAAAATATAGTGTTGTACCAACAGTTTGGTCTCAACTAGAATTACATGGAGGCAGAAAAACCTGGAAGGAAACCAGCCAAAGCGTTCAGCTACCTAGGATCGCATTATCTGTGATCTCTCCCCCACCCGCGATTTGTGCTCTGTACACTCTCCACGGGCCATGAGTGCACAGTCACACCCTGGGCCCTCCCACTGGGCGCTGGCCTGAGTGGGGGTTCCCACTCTGGGAATGAGGGGAGAGGCGGCCCTGCCCCGTGGGTTGGGTGTGGCACCCCCCCCTCCCCTTCGCACTCCTGGGGTGGAGGGGCGAAAGAGTCCTAAGAGGGAAAGTGGGTGGGGCTGAGGCCCTGGAGCAACTCTGTCCCTGCTGCCCGCAGGGACATCAAGTGTAATTTCGAGAAAAGCAACCCAGCGCTCAATGTACAATTCCGCCGCGGCACCGGGGACGCCGATTATGTGCCAGGCACTAGGTGTGAGTGCAGGCAGGTCAGGAATCCTTGGGGATTTGAGAGGCACCCGCACGCATCCCACTGTCCCCAGCCTCCAGCCTCTGGCCACCAGCACCAGCCTCCAGCCTCGGCAGCAGCCCCACACTCTTGAAAATGCCAATATGACCCAGGCATTCCCTGGCTCAGAAGCCTTTGTCAGAGTCACCGCCAGGTGGGGGCCCGACAGCCTCATCCCCCAACCTACCCTCCCAAACCCAGAGGCCCCTCTGTGACCTGGTGGGAAAGGCTCCCAAGCCCCTTAGCGGGGTCGGGGCCCCCTCTCCGTTCCCTGAGGTCCTCTGTCACCTGTGCCTTCCTGGGGACATGGGCAGGCCCCAGCACAGAGCCAAGGAAGGGGCTGAAGAATGGGGGGAGGAACGGACTGGGTCTGACAACCCGGTGGGTGGGGTGTGGCCATGCCATGACGTTTATCTTACTGAACAACTGTGCCAAAGGGCATGCTACATGTGTTTTTCATAGAGACAGAGCCATGAACTCCCACCGGGGTCAAATGACATGCATGCTGTTGGCGCCCCCCGGAAAGCCCGCCTGCCCCATGACTGCTGTGTGACTGGGCGTGCCAGGCGACCACTCTGGGCCTCCTTTGGGCACATGGTCCTGCCTCCTGGGCTCACTTTCACTCCTCCAGGCCTCAGACCTCCAACTACACATGGGAGGGCTGGACCCAGGATTTCAACCCCCCACCTCTCCAACTCCATCAGCTTATAGAGGGCACGGGAGAGACAGTGGGAGGGAAGGCTTCCTGGAGGAGGTGGTCTTCACCGAGCAGGCCCTGGAAGGCTGAGGAAGCTGTCCCCTGGCAGAGCTGGGAGGAAGGGGGAGGCAAAGACTCAGGGGCACTAATTCTTGCACAAACGCACACGAACATCGGACACCCCAAGAAGCCTGGAAGCAGGACCTGGCCCAGAGGGCGCCCAGCGGCCCACTCACCTCCAGCACGTGCCCCGTGATGTACTTCTCACAGCCGTCACAGCGGATGCCGAACTTGGTGTGGTAGTCGGCCTCGCAGTAGGGCAGCCCGTCCCTGCAACGAGACAGGCCATCAGGATGCGTACGGGGTTCCCCTGGGGACCCAGGGGCTGAGCGAGGGCTGGTGGCCACCTCCACAGGCTCAGCCGCGGGAATAGGGCTGCATCTGGGAAACCAAAGATGTTCCCACTGACGACGTGGTTCTTCCTCCGGTTCGTTCTGTCCCACGTGGGGCGTGTGGATGGGAAACAGCCTATTTACTCACCAGGGGTTGCTGAGTAAATAGACTCCCTCCAAAAGGGGTCTGGGGCGCCCTACAAAATCATGAGCCGCAAAGTGTGTGTGACAAAGGTGCCCACGCCAGGGGCCACGCAATGTCACATGGCATAGGTGGTGGGTGGGGACTGCGCCTCTCTGTCCCCGGGTGTGGCTGCAGAGGCATCCGGCTGCGCGGGAGGGGTCAGGAGGGCCGCGGGTGACGTGTCCACTCTGCACGCATATTTACAGCATGCCCACCACGTTCGTGGTGTGGGGAAGCAGTGACGAGCGACACACGGTTTCGGGTGCCGCTCCGAGGATCTGGGCAGCCCGGGGTGAGTCACTTCAACGCTGAGCCTCCCCTGAACGCACGGTGAGGGAGGCAGCTGGTTTTCAGGGTCGCGGACGGGAAGACAGTATGGGCACACCACCAGGCACAGCACTCGGCCTGTGGCGGGAGCTGATTTTAAGTGACTGTAATTATTATTACAACAGGACATGGCAGGGGGACAGCCCAGAGGAGGTGCCAAGGTTGCTGGGTTGGTGGCCATGCTCCGTGTGGGGAGGAGCCGGTGGGCAGCGGCGAAGTGAGCAGGCTAGCGCTCACATGCCACCACGCCCCCGCTGTGTGCCCCTGGGCAAGCCACATAACCTCTCTGAGCCTCGGCTTCCCCAGCCATAAAATGGGAGAAATTATAGTAAGGTCTAAAGACGAGAAGGTGTGGCCAGTGCCTAGCACACGGCAGGCATTTGCCAATTGGTGGCCGAGGCCATTGTCATTGCTGACCAGGCCGCCCCCTGGGTGTGGAGGCCACTGGCAGGCAGGGGCGCCCGCTTCCCCACACACATCTTCCCTCCCCCGCACTGCGGAAGTTGCCCCTTTACTCCCGGTTGGGTTTTGATTTTTATGCAGCTGCCAAAGGAAGGTAAGAGTTCTCGACTTTTGGGAGACCAGGGCTAATGCCGCCCTCTGGACCTTCTGTAGGACGTAGGACGGGAAGGCTTCCTGGAGGAGGTGGCCTGCAGGACGGGAAGGGCAGTGGGGGGTTATGAGTCCCTGGGGTTGCTGTGGCTGCAGGGTATGTCTCTGACCACAGCCCCAGAGAGGATGAAGCCCCTCCTTTCCTGAGAGGAAGAGATAAATTGAGCCCTCAAGGTCTACTTTCAAACGCTACTGACCTCAGGGCCCCTATTATTCCCACCATGGGTGTCTGTGCCCCAACCCCAGGAGGCTCAATGATTACGTTTCTATGGCAACACCAACGCACCCTCCCTGCCACCTGCGACCGTTCTGGAGGCTGCTGACAGGTGAGCCGTGTGGGTGAGCTACCATGGCAGCAAGCACCCTGGGGGCTGGGCACATTTTATTTTATTTTATTTTATTTTATTTTATTTTATTTTAAAGTGCTCTGTCTCCTGCGGCTGCCTTCAAGGGAGTCACTCTCCCCTTCCCTTTACTATGACAGAGGAGTGGCCAGTACCTTCCCCTGCCTGATCCAGCCTGGACAGAGGCTCGTCTTGGCTTGGGGACTTTAACTGAAAACGTTTTGTTTTGAGATGAGTATGGACTCACACGGGGTTGTAGGACACCAGACAGAGACCCCCCACTCCTGTCACCCCGTTTCCCCCACGAGTGGCCTCATGCACAGGGAAGGTACAAGGGCAGCCAGGAGATGGACGGGGCACATCAGCAACCTGATCTGGATGCCCCGGGTGTGACATGTACTCATGCGTGTGTGTGTGCGTATGAGTGCATGAATGTACGAGTGTGTCCGTGTGTATGAGCGTGCACACGTGCGTGGTGTGTATGCATGTGTGTGTGACTGTGTGCACGGCCAGTTCCCGGGACGGTTCTGCTCCCTCCGGCATCAAGAACCAGCAGGGCCTCCCACATTAGCTGCCCGTGGAGCTCCCTAACTTGCAGGAAGGAGCCTGCTCTGCACATTTCAGCTCACCCCCTAACTCTGGGCCATAGGGGGGTTTCCTTGATGCAGTCCCCGATCCCAGGGACTGAAATGCACCCCTTCCCGGCAAACCAGCTGCTCCTGCTCAGGGCTAAGATCTCCCAGAGGCTCCGTCTGCACTGCCTTCTGACGAGATGTGCTCTCCGACCCCCACCCAAACCAGCCGTCACTGCATCCTGGCCGCACGTCTGCGGTCTGGGGACACGGGGTCGGCTGGGGGAGCAGTGGGATGGCCAAGCACTGCAGAAGATGGAGCGGGGCCTGAGTCATCTCCTCTGTGACAGGTGAGGCGACTCAGCCCTCTTCCCCTCACTCCTGCTGCTGGAGTCAGCCGGCAGCCACCGTGCATTCTGCAGGTGATCCGGGTGCCACGGGAGGGTGACCCCCAGGGACGGGCAAGGGGAAGCATTTACAAAGGCAAAGAGGGGTGCACTGTCTCTGCTTCGATCCACAGAACTGGAGCTGTGGTCTCTGCGGACCACGCTAAGGAAGCCAGGATGGTGGGAGGAGACCGCCAGGTGGGGGTGGGGGAGACAAACACGCAGGGCCCTGAGTCCACACGGGGGACGGGACGGGAGTGACCAGAGGAGGGGCACGGGAGGAGTCTGCCACTCACTTGCTGATGTACTCCGCGTCCAGTTGCTTCCCGCACGTCTCACACTTGAAACAGCCCAGATGCCAGTGTTTGTCCAGAGCCACCAGGGACTGGCCATTTTTTATTTCTGTGCCACAGCCCCCACAACCTGAAGGAAAGAACGGGACGTGGACACCATCACTGTGGGCCAGGAGGCGTGGGGGCCCGGGCCGCTGGGTCTCCTGACACAGAAGTGCCCAGAGCCGGCCCGAGGGAGGGAACAGAGGGCACAGTCAGGCTGGGTGTGCTGAATGGTGTGAACACGTAGAAAACAAATCGCAAAGTTCACCCTTGCAGGCATTGAGTGCTGACTGCATGCAGCCTGGGCTGGATGCTGACAGAGGCTGCACCTGCCAGAGGATGGGCACCAGCCCCGGACAGCTGGGGTGTCCTCGAACAAGAGCGCACTGCAGGGCGGGGGCTGCCCGGAGGGGAGGCAGCAGGTCCAGGGGGCCCCATCTGTCCTCCTCTGTCGACAAGTAGACTGTCAACCTAAGTGACCTGACCAACGTGCACGCCCAAGGAGATGTGCTCCCCCGCCACTCCTTCCTCCAGCAGCTCCCCCTGCCCGGATGCCCTTCCCAGGAAGCCCTCCTGGCCCACTCTCATCAGGACCTCCTTCTGTGGCTGTCTGTGCCGCATCCCAGACACAAACCGCCCAGTCCCTTACCCGCGTTCTGCTCCGAGTGTCAGCCCACGTCGGAGCCGGGCCCCAGGCAGGTAGCCTTGGGGCTTCCTCCCTTGGCAACCACCCCCCCCCCCACCGCAGGTGATGCATGCTCCTCATCCCGTGGCCCCCACCTGCTCTGGAGCCCTGACTGTCAGCCCCACACCAGCCTGTCCCTGCTCGACAGCCCCTGGGTCCCAGGCCCTCGCGTTGGCACTTGGGCCTCCGGGTCCTGGCACGGCCCAGTTGCCTCCAGGCCTTCCAGTGTGGGCGGCCACACCAGGGCCCCCACAGCCAGTGTCCCCTGCCCTGAAGGAAGGGGAACCCCGGGTGCAGAGACCAGCGGCGCAACCTGTCCGGGGTGCGCATGTTTGAGTGTGCTGAGTGTGAGTGTGTGCACCTGTGTCTGTGTGTGACCGCGTGCATGGATGTGTGTGTGTGTGTGCATGCGACTAGTCACATATGTGCATGTGTTTGTGTCTGTGTGTGCAAATGTGTCTGTGTGTTTCTGCATGAATGTGTGCCCTTGTAGGAGTGTGTCTGTGTGTGCGTCTGTGTATGTTTGTGTGTCTATGTGAATATGTCTGTGTGTGAGCATGTCCCTGTGTGTCTGTGTGAGCATGCAGGGCGTGTGTGTGTGTCTGCGTGTGGCGGGGGCAGGACAGGCAGGGCCTTGGGGACCCCCACAGGGTCCTGAAGAGCAGAGACAAGGTGAAGTCATCTGGCAAACAGCCCCCCACGGCCCACAGGAGCCCCCGAGCAACACTACAGCCCCGGGCTCAGCCCAGGGGCTCGCAGGCAGAGTGGGGACCCTGCTACCCAAGATGGAAGAATGTGGCCTGGCTACCAGTCCTGGCCCCCACCATTCTCGGGGTCACACTGAGCCACGCTCTGTCCTCTGGGGGCCCCCGTTTCCTCACTGGTGGGGTGAGCAGTCCCATTAAATGACAAAAGGCAAAGACCACACTCGCCACGCCCTCACCAGGAGGTGCCGTCCACCAGGACGGAAGGGAAGGGGTCGGGGCTCGGGGCTCGGGGCAGGGTGCACGGCAGGGGCTTCACAGATGCTCCTCTGACCCATGCTCCTGCCCTTCTCGGCAGACAGAGTGTCATATTGTTCTAAGAACAGAAAATACTTGACGCCCACAAGACTGTTGGTCAAGTTCTGGCTTTCCTAAATTCTCACACTGTTCAAATCCACATGCAACTCTGGAAACCACCCGAAGATCGGACCACACTCCGAGATCCAGGGCCGTGAGGGAAGAGGGCGGCTTGTTCATCTGGGGACCCTCGGGGCCCAGAGTGGGCTGGCAGCTCGCATGCCTGCTGAAGGCATGCATGCGTGAATGAATTAACGGGGACCAAGAGAATGCCCTCCCCTCTCAAGTTCAGGAGGCATCCAGACCCCATCCCCAGCCCACTACCTCCATCGGTTCCCCAGCAGCACAGAGACAATGCAATGCGCCCGTTCTGGATTCGAGCGGGCTGGCTTTGAGCGCGGGCTCACTCTGTAAGCTCCAGGTCACTGCCTCACAACCAAGGACCACTGCGCTCCCCAGGGGACACTTGGCAATGTCTGGAGACACTTTTGATGGTCGCAACTGGAGGGGCCGTGCTCCAGGCACCTGGGGGCCGAGGCGAGAGATGCTGCTCAACATCCTCCAGCGGACGGCACGGTCCCACAGCGGAGAATCATCTGGCCCCAGCTGTCAACGGTGCCAGAGTCGAGAAACCCAGCTCGGCGCCTTAGCGTGCTTCGTACACGGACAAGGCGAAGGATCACGCTACACGGCGTTGTGCCAGGGGCTGGTGGAGAGGCAGGGTGAGCCGTGGTTAGAAACACGGCCCTTGGAGCCAGGCTGCCCCCACCTGCTGTGTGACGGCGGGCAAGTCACGCCACGTCTCTGTGCTCGGGTATAATGATGGTCCAGGCTCATACACTTGTCTCGGGGCTGAGGAGAGCTAACAGCTACAGGCCCACGGGTGTGCCTGACAGCCGACTCTATGCACATGAGGCCGAGCGCTGTCACGACAGGAAGACCCGGTGGCCCAGTGCCCCGTGGTAGCCATCTGAGGACGCCTTGGACAGGACATTCTGCCTCCTGCCCGGCCCCAGGGGAGGGCCCAGAGGCTCCGGGTTAGCGTGTCAGCTGAGGCTGCAGGGGGGTGTGGACCTGACACCCGGCCCCAGCCCCTCACTCATCCCGGCGAACTTGGGGCAGTGTCTCACGAACAGCAAGCCCTGACCTCGGAGGCAAGAGCAACATGCATGAAGGACTGTTGTCGTGGAAACAGCAATCATCACTTTCTAAACACAACTGGAGCTCAGCGTCGCTTTGCAGGGCTTTGCAAAGGACAGCACAGAGACTTGTCGTGAGTCCTGACACCAACAGTCATCAGCAGAGGGCATGTCCTCGGGGGGAGTGTGTCCCCACTGCTGGGGCAGAGGTCGTGGGAATCCGCCCACTCACCCACACACCCTGGACTGGCTCATCACAGCAACGGGGATGGGCCTGGGCTGCCGCCCCAGCATATGGCCCTTCTAGAAAGTTCCAAACAGCTTCCTGTTTCCCCCAGAGTGCTCCCTCCTCTAGCAGATGTGGCTCAGATCTCCAGCTCTACCACTAACTTGTGTGGGACACAGGAAGTGTGGGGCGGCCTCTCTGAGCCCCAGCTGTGAACTGGAGAGGGTGGGACCCACCCTCGCCCCTGCCCACCAGGCCAAACCAGGTCGGGGAGCAGGGGAGGGCTCCGAGCCGAATCTGAGATTGACTTTGGAAAGCATGGAGCCCACTGAGGTCTAAAACGTGAAAATGCTGACATGTTATGAGCGGGGCCTGTTATTTCTCTGAAAGCCCCAAACAGAGTGGAAGAGCCGGGAGCTGTTGGGAGAGAGAAAGCATGTTCAAGCGCGCCCCACGCACTGGGGCTCTGAGCTAAACCGGAGACACCCACCCCTGATGCAACGCAGGGGCATGAGGTGCACCGCTAGAAGGAGGCCAGGAGTGGGTGTTGGCTCCTGGGGGCTGCAGCACCCTATAGGGCAGGCGCACCCCAGCCGCACAACCCACAGGGCAGGTGCCCCTCACAAGGCGGTCACTATACCTCACAAGACAGCTGCACCCCACAAGGTGTCTGCACCCTATAAGGCAGGTACACCCCACAAAGCAGTCACTGTACCCCACAAGGCATATAACCTCACAGTCTCACTGCCCTGTTTCCCAGGAGTGGGCCAGCGAGGGGGTTAGGGGAGCCTCTCTCAGGGAAGAAGACATAGAAGCTCCAAGGGCCACAGACCAGATGGTCTCAGAGGGAAGGGCTGTGGACCCTCGGTGCTGCCCCACTTCCTGCTGACTCTGGAGGGGCCTCCAGGCCTCAGCTCCAGGGTGACCCCGGGTTCTGGGTGTGAATCCATCTATGCCCTGGTAGGGCTGAGCCCCAGCCGGGGAAGCACAGAGCCGGGGTGGGTGCGGAACGGATGGCCAAGCCCAAGAACAGGCCCCAGGGCCCCTCAGCTTGGACAAAGCTGCTCCCCACTCCATGCCCCCGAGGCCCCACATCCTGCCCGCCCTGCCCCATGCCCACACGCACTTCTGACCCCACGCCCAGTCCCAGAGAGGGGACACAGCTTGCCCAGGGCACACAGGGGTGATTGGGAGGGTTCACCTGGGGCAGCCGGGCCCAGAGCTGCCCCTGACGTAATGGCACCAGGCCCCCCAGGAAGGGCTGCCCTGTGACAGCGAGACCAGCAACCAGGTCAGAGCTGGAGGCTGGGGGAGGCCAGCGAAGGGGAGCCGGGAGGAGGAGAAGCAACAAGCCCTCTTGGGGAGGAGACCCTCCTCCGGGCGGTGGGGGAAGTGGCCCAGGGCAGACACTGTGTGCAAGCCTCAGAAGGAAGGGTGTGCTCCTCCAGGGACGGGATGGCGTGGGCGTTCAATGCCAAGCGCTTATCCTGTTCCTAAGCAACAGGCTCCGGGCCAGAGAGCGGAAGAGGGACTCTGAAGGACGCTCAGGGACCAGGACTCCAGCTCGACTCCTACCTCCACAGCTGCCCCGGGGAGGACAGCTTTCCTCCTTGCACCCCGCTGCAGGGGGCCGCAGCCCCTCCCCAGCCCCTGCAATCTGCAGGCAAACCACACTGCTCAGGCTCCTCCCAGCATCCCTAACTCAACAGCCATCTATGGCTCCTCGTTGCCTCCAGGACATGCTTGGGACTCCTTGGCACGGCTTTGCCCCCTGGTTTCCATTTCTCCCATTTCCTTCTATTCCCTGTCCCCACGCAGCAGCCCCCCTTGTCCACTCACAAGGGTCTGGCGGTTGCCCCCGGCACCTTCCACTTTCTCCCTGTTCTGTAGTGCCTTCCCTTCAGTGCCCACCTACCTGAACCTCTGTGTCAAGTTTCAGAACTAAGGCCACCTCCTCCAAAAGCATCTGGTTACAGCAGGGTGAACTCCCCGGCTTTGGGGTTTGAAGGCGTTGGCTCAAGCCTCAGGAGCACCATTCTCTAGCTGGCCACGGGGCGCCTGGCCCACGGCTGCCTTGCCACCAGACCAGCGCACTTCTGCACCTATAGGAGGAGAAGAGGCTTCCTGCCTGGCAGGGCTGCTCTGGGCGCGAAAGGAAGCAGGAATTCGGAAGATTTTGAAGACATCCACACAGGAACCAAGAACTGGTAGTGAATGTTTAACACTTTCTAGGCACAAAAAAGGTGCTAAGCTGGAGAGAGTCTCACTGTGGACCAGAAGAGGGGGCAGGTCACATTATTAGATCATCTGAGGGTCAGGGGAGCATTTGTCCTCTGGAAAGGTAAATTGGGTATTTTAAAATAAATTTACATTTGGAAAGGGCAGAGCCTTTTAAAACTCTCACAATATTCTCAATGAGTCCAGGTTCAGGCATATTTCCCTTTTTACTCAGGCTGCCGGGGAGCTCTGGACAAACTGTTCAAACTAATCTCACCCCCCTTTTAGATTTTGCTTGTTAGAGTTTTTGATTACTATTTCAGATTTAATTATAACAGTATCGATTGCAAAGCAAATTCTCAGAAGTTCAAGCAATCCCGTCCTCAGTGGGAGAGAAAATTTTGAACGGAGGGCTCTCCCGGCAAGCCCCAGAGCCACAGCCTGACCAGCCAGCACTGCTGTTAGCTTGCCTCCCCAGGGGATGAAGACTTTGCCTCCTTTCACAGAGCAAAACAACTCCCAGGCCCCGAGGCCAGCCCTGAGCTTCTAGAAGGCTGCAGGTGCAATCTCCTCCGGAGAGACTTTCAACACAACACCTGAGGTGGGAAGAAGGTGCTTCACGGGGACAGGGAATGGACTAAGAACGAAGGGCTGGCTTTGGAGGTCGGCAGAAGGCCCTCCTCTGTCGAGGGGCATGCGACCCCAGCACTGGAGTGCACCATGGCCACGGCGCACTCAGGGTGGGCTCTGAAACTCCATTTCTGCCCGGGGAGCCTGGCAGCAGCAGGCCCTGGAGCTCCGGGCCCCCTTCCCGGTCCCCACGTCCCACGTCTGGCCCGGAAGAGCCGCAGGAGCTGTGGAAGGCAGGCTCCTGCCTGCCCCGCCTTACTTTCTCACTGCCCTGCACCCTCAGCGACATTCCAGCCCACGTTCGTTCCATGACAGTCTGCTTCTGCATCCAACAAGCATCTATTGAGTAGCCCTGCATACAAACCCTGGCCTTGCTCCCGGGGCCTGGAGCAGTGAACCCAGGAGCTCTCGACCTCAGGAGCCCAGAGCTCAGTGCTCTCCTAATGGCTCCCCCAAAGGGCTTCTGGAAGGTCTAGAATTATCTGTGGAGCTGAATGTGTCTATGTGTGTGTGTGTGTGTGTGTGTGTGTGTCGGGGGGAGGACCAGAGGAGGCCAGGAGGCTTCCTGGAGGAGGCCAGCTAGACCAGGCTGGAGGGCACAGCCCCCTAGAGACTTCTGTCCTTGATTGCCTTCCTGTGTCTGTCGTCCACGTCACCCTTCACTCCCAACGCTTCTGCTTCGGGTCCGTGGGGTCAGGCCCCTCCCCAGGCCCTGAGGAGGCCAGCCCCCCATGCTCCTACCCCCCACCCCCGCGCCGCTCGGTGCCCACTTACTCCAGAGGCCCTGGGACAGGTGCACGCTGCTGCCTGCTGTCTTGGGCAGGGAGCACTTCTGACACATGCATTCCTTCCCGTTGAAGGTCACTCGGTCCCCCGGTGGGAAGGGCAGCCTGCAACAAGAGAGCACGTGACCAGCCAGGATCACCTCCGGCTCTTCTCCTGGGTGTGGGCAGGAGGGGCCAGACACCCCCCTAATACACCACCACCTCCCCCGGGGCCTTGTGGGGACAGGCACCACAGGCTGAGGACGCAAGGCCTACCCACCCAGGCACCCCTGCGTTCCTGCCGTGTGAGTCCCGGCTCGACCCCCACGCCTTAGCCTCGGTCCTCTACCGCACAAACAGGCAGGATGGCAGGGCCCTGGTGAGGAGCAGTGAGGGCCAGCCCCATGTTTGGCACGTGGCAACGAACCAGGCAGCCTCAACCGCCCCCTCCTCCACTCCCCCCTGCCTCCTCTGACCACGCAGGATGCTTTGTCCACATCAGTTCAACAACAATGGCAACAGCTAGCATTTGCTGAGCACCTACTGTGTGCCAGGTGCCACGAATTACGGCAGATACCCCACATGCATGCCTCATGTAATAACTTCGGGACATTTGTCCAAGCTGGAATTCCCTTCATTTTTTCTCTATAGGTGAAAAAACTGAAGTTCAGAGATGATAGTTAACTTTTCCAAGGACACACAGCTGATGCATGTCAGAACCAGAGTCAAACCAAGACCCGTTCAGGCTCCAAAGCCCCATGATTTATTTACCTACTCGGGCCACTAAGAAGTCAGTGCCTTGTACAAGCAGGCCTTGTAGACAACAAGGTATTGCACATTATATCCATCTCTATTTAAGTTTGACATTTTGCTTATCATGGATGTTTTTGCACTAATTTTTAATTTTTTAAATACCACATTAAAATATCATTTACCTTGATTGCTTATTTTTGGGGGACTCGCTGAAATTCTGCATCCAGAGTGAGTCCCAGCCCTGGTGCAGGCTGGGTGGAGGCAGCAGAAAGTCGCCTCGCCTCCCTGCACTAAGGACGTCCCCGCCTGGTGCCTGGGAGATGGGTAAGGTGGCTGCCCCTCAGCAAGCGAGGGACAGGCCACCTGCAGTCAGGGGCTGGAAGACGGACTTCAGTGTCCTGCTGGTATCCATCCCAGCCACCTGCTGCCACTGAGCTCCCAGCTGCCCTGGGGCCACTTTCCTTCCCCTGCTCAGCCCAGCCAGAGAACCTGAGCTCTGGGGCAGTAGTCTGCAGAATTCTCTGGACCAGGACATGCCCTTTCCTCGGGTTAAAACTTCATGTCTCCCCTCTGCCTTCTCAGGGCTGACAATCCATGGTGCATCCGGGCACTCAGTAGGTACTTGCTAATGAGTGAATGAGTGAGTGAACGAGTGAATGACTGAAGGCCTCCAAGGGCGCCTAACTCAGCGCCCCCTCCGGCCAGGCCTCCCCACACAGCCTGCCCGGTCACACCAGCCCCAGGCCAGGCCCAAGCTGGGAGCATGCCTCCCCCCAACGGAGCCTGCCCTAGCCCCCACTTTGTACAGCTGGTGTTCATCCGGACAAATACAGGCTGAGCTGGCCCACCTCCCCAGGCTTGTGAGACAGCCGTGTAGACCTGGCTTCTTGGGGCCCGGAGCCTTGTAGCTGATGCCTTGAGCTGTATCACCTGTGGCCAATGCTGTGCTCTGCCAGTCTTCCCTAGAGTCTTACAGCTGGCCTGGTAATGTGGGGTGTTGGCATAGAGCGGGGGGTCCTCCCCTTCCCTGCATGTGCTCTGACAGGGTCTCTGGCTATGTATCCCAGAGCAAGTTACTTACCCTGTCTGAGTCCTGTTTCTCACCTGTAAAGTGGGACTGGTAATACCTGCGGTACGGTCAATCTCATGGGGTTGTTACTCAGCCCTCCATCCCTCCCTCCTTCCATCCATGCATCCATGCATCATCCGTCTGTTCATCCATCCATCCATCTCCCTTCCATCCATCCATCCATTGGACAAACTGCTTGGAAAGCTCTAGCATACTGCCTGGGACCAGGAGCGGTGAATAAATAATAGCTATTATTTTGTTAGTTCAACTTTATTGAAATGTACATTGACAAATGCACCCATTCATGTTATCAACACCACAGTCATGATATGGGACATTCTGTCCACTGCAAAAAGTCCCCTGTGGGGCGCCTGGGTGGCTCAGTTGGTTAAGCGACTGCCTTCGGCTCAGGTCATGATCCTGGAGTCCCGGGATCGAGTCCCACATCGGGCTCTCTGCTCGGCAGGGAGTCTGCTTCTCCCTCTGACCCTCTTCCCTCTCGTGCTCTCTATCTCTCATTCTCTCTCTCAAATAAATAAATAAAATCTTTAAAAAAAAAGAAAAGTCCCCTGTGACCGTCCATAATCACCCCCCCACCACCACCCCTGGTCCCAGGCAACCATGGTGGGCATTCTGTCACTGTGGATTGGAAATGTCTTTTCTAGAACTGCAACTGCATACATATGGAATCACACATGGAATCACACAGTGTGTAGTCTTTGATGTCTGGTTCAGCGTCCTGCCCCTGACATTGGCTCACATGGCTGCGTACATCAGTAGCTTGCTCCTTGTTACTATGGAGTACTGCTCCACTCCGGACAGATGAGGGACAACATGATTCCATTCACTGCTGAAAGATATTTGGGCTCTTTCCAGTTTGGGGCTGTTACAAATAAAACTGCTAAGAATGTTTGGTGACAGATCTTTCCATGGACATGTGTTTCCACTTCTCTGGGGTACATACCTAGGAGTGGAATCACTGGGTCATAGGTTAACTCTATGTTTATAACAAACAAACTGCCAAACTGATTTCCAGACAGGTTGTACCACTTTGCATTCACCCCAGCAATACATGAGCATTCCTTCAGCGTCATGTCCTCACCAACACTTGTCATTACCCACCTTTTTAGCCTTAGCCCTTCTGGATAGATGATGGTATTCCACCATTTTAATCTGCACTGTTGCGTGTGCTTATGGTCATTCATGTCTATTCTTCTGTGGAGTGTCTGTTAAACTCTTCTGCCCATTTTTTATAGGGTTTTTGTTTATCTTCTTATTGATGACTTGTAGAAGTTCTTTATATATTTTGGATGCCAGTCCCTCATCAGATATATCTGATCTACCAGTTGATGGCTTGCTTCTGTACTTTACCGATGCCTTTTGACATCATTTTTCTTCTTCTAACTTTATTGCCATGTAGGTGTGCTGGCAACAAGTTCTCTAGGCTTCTGTGTGTCTACAGCAGTCTTTATTTCGCCTTCATTTTTCTTTTTTGCAGGGGGGACACATTTATTCATGTTATTTTAATCACATACATCTTGGAGATACTTCAGTTTCAGTTCCAGACCACTGCAATAAAGCAAATATTGCAATAAAGCAAGTCAAATGGATCTTCTGGTTTCCCGGTGCATAGAAAAGTGATGTTTACGCTGTGGTCTATTAAATGTGCAATAGCATTCAGTCTAAAAAACGAAGTGCATACCTTAATAAAAAGTACTTTATTGCTAAAAAACATGCTAACCATCATCTGAACTTTCAGCAAGTCGTAATCACTGATCACAGACCAGCATGACAAATATAATCATACAAAAGTTTGGCATATTATGAGAGTTACCAGAAGGTGACGCAGAGACATGAAGTGAGCAAATACTGTCGGAAAATGGCACCGACACACTTGCTTGACGCAGGGTGGCCACGAACCTTCAATTGGTAAAAAATGCAGTATCTGCAAAGCTCAATAAAGTGAAGTGCAACAAAACGAGGTATGCCTGTACATAACGTTCATACCATTCAATGTGTATGATTCAATGGTTTCTAGGGTATTCAGACTGGTGTATGTATCCCCATGATCAATTCAAGGACTTTTTCATCACCCCGAAAAAGAAACCCCATACTCTTTAGTGGTCTTGCTTTCATTTTTTGAAAGTCTTTTTCTTCCTCTTTTTTTTTTTTGGCTTGGTATGAAATTGTTTGATTTTTTCTTATAACTTTTTGAAGATGCCTTTCCATTGTCTTCTAGGATGCATAGTTTAGGTAGGAAGTCTGAAGTCATTCTTTCACTCCACTGTATATGATGTGGGTCTTTTCTCTTGCTCCTTGTTAGAGTTCTTATGACTATTTTTCAGAAATTTGATTATGAAGGACTTAGTAGGTTTCTGTCATGTTTTTTCTGCTTGGGGTTTATCAAGATTTCTGGATCCATGGGTTTGTAGTTTTCATCAAGATTGGAAAATTTTCAGCCATTATTTCTTTAATTATTTGGTTTTCCCTTACCTCCAGGGTTTCCCCCTCCCAGCCCAGACAGGCAGAAAGATCCGTTATCCACAGATCCCTGAATCTGTTTTCATGTTTTCCAGTCTTTTCTGTCTCTGTGCTTTAGTCTGTATAGTTTCTGTTGTTATGTTTTCAGGTTCACCAAGCCTTTCCTCTGCAATACCTAATCTACTGCTAATTCCTTTGAAGGGATCTGTCATCTCAGAAATTGTCATTTTCATTTCCAGAATTTCCATTTGGCTTCTTTTTATCCCTTCTGTAAGACTTCTCTTACATTCACATTTTCCTTTAAATACCTAAGCATATTTTCAATACTGTTTCAAAGCCACCATTTGCTGGTTTCACATCACTCTCATTTCTGGGTCTATTGCTATTGACTGGGTTTTCTTCTGGCTTTGGGTCTCATTTCCCAGCTTCTATGACTAGTAATATCTGGATGTTGGGCACTGCCGATGCTATGTTGCTGAGGGCTGGATTTTCCGTCTTCCTATGAAGAGTGCTGGACTTGTTCTGGCAGGCAGTTAGCTCATTTGCAGATCAGTGCAAACTTTTGGGGGTTTATTCTTGTACTTCATTTCAGCAGGTGCTTGTAGCCTTTGCTCTAGGCCTATTTTAGTCCCACCAATAAGGCATGACTTTTTTGGCATCCCCACTTTGTACCTGGGCGTTCAACAACCTGGTCACAACTCGAATGTCTCCCAGCCCCAGGAACTGTTCAGCTTACAACAATCTAGCCATCCTTTGTCCACCTTGTGAAATGTCCTCTATGCCTATGTGGCTTTGTGTTCAGCGAAAGGCTCAAAGGTACCCCCACATTGCTCTCTGCACTTGCTCTGTGTGGCTCCCCCCTGACCCCCCGGGGGCGCAGCCCCTGTTGCTCGTATCACTGCCTCCTGACTCATCTCCTCTCCAGGAAATCCCTCCGGGCACAAAGCTGGGTGGTTGCAGGGTCCATTGCCTTTGTGGTCCTGGTCTCAGTCCCACACAGACTGCGCCCCAATGCCCCCAAACAATTGCTTCATGTAGAGTTTTGCAGTTGTGTACAGAGGGTGGTAAGTCCAGCCCAGTTACTCCAGTGTGACAGAGCTGTCTGCTGTTATTTTAAAAACAGAAGATTATCCAGAGGTGATCTTTCAAACTTATTCTGATTATGTCCCCTTGTCTCTAAGCTGTTTGCATGGAAATCAATCATGGGATCATCCTTGCGGGAACTCTGAGACCCACACTTGCTGCAACAGCACAGTGACTGTCATTAGAAATACTCCCCGTCATTGTCCCCTCCTGTCTGCCTCCCTCTGGAGAAAGCATCTATTTCTGTCCAGCACACATGCCCTGCCCACAGACAACAGCTTTGGGAACAACACTCAAAAAGTCCCTTTGAAACTGGGTGTGGTGAGACAGAGAAGGCAGAGCAGAATATAAACTCTGGGTTCTTTTTGTTCTTTGTTTCTTAGAGATAGAATGTCTCCCTGGGAGCAGTGTGTCTAGGGCAGGGGTGGGGTGCAGGAGGAGGCTGCTCACGTGGCAAAGCTGCTCCTGGGCTCCCTCCTAAGTCCCCAGAGGTGCGGGGCATACCGGGGAGCTGGCTGTGGCCCTGCTGTGAGGGCTAGGCTCTCTAACTCCAGCCATCCTCCGCCTCGTCCCTGCTCTGGGCTGGGCACCTGGCCCCATGGAGGCGGAGGAGTCAGACCCAGCCCCTGCCCGCACGCAGCTCACATCAAGTGGCTGCCAGGGCGGGGGGGGGGCAGGCAGGAGAGCAGCTGCACCGGGCACAGTGAGTGTCCCGAGGAGGGAGAGAGCTATTCCCCAGGGTAGGAAAGGCCCTGGGCAGGGCACCCTCATACTTTGGTGTCTCTAGGTGCAGAGCCCTGCAGAGTCTGAGGCAATGCGTCTCCAAGCCACTGGTGCCTGCCCTGTGCCAGGCCGCAGAGGTGCTTAAAGAGCCCGGTTGAATGAATGAACGAGTGAGTGAAGGAGGGAAGGAAGGAGAGCAGACTGTGAAGCCCGTCTCAGCCAGGCTGAGCGGCTTGTACTTTCTCATGGATGCCAGGGGGCAGCGGGGAGGAGGGACAGACAGAGGGGAGGCAGGGACCCCACTGTGGAGGCCGTGGCAGGACCCAAGCAGGCACACTTTGAGACCAGAGCGGGGCTAGTGGCTGGGCAGATGCTAGAAAGGGAGGGACCCTTCCCCAAATCTGGCACCCAGGGGGATGGGTGAGGGCCACCCACAGATCAAGGACTCGGGACAGCTGAGGGGTGGTGGTGGGTGGGCAAGGAGGGGCTGAAGTGCGGACGCAGCAGGCACCAACGCAAGAGAAGAAACGTGTGGGGGATGCTGGGAGGAGAGGAGCTCACCAAAGTGGCCGAGGAGGGCGGGGAGGGAGCTCCTTCCCAGAAGCCCAAGGAGGCCCCGAGTTGGCAGCCTCAGAACCTGCTAGACTCTGGGCCCCCCAGGAAAGAGAGCCTGGTCCTGCACTTCGGGCAAGGGGTGGAGGCCTGCGAGGTCTGCGGTTGGACAAAGGTGTGCCTCGGGGCATAGCTGTCCTGTGACCATCTGCCACCCCGGGCTTGTGTCCTGCCTCCCCTCCCAGCTGTGGCCCAACAGGAGGGAGGACGGAGGGAGGAGGGAGGAGGAGGGAGGGAGGGAGGAGGGAAGGAGGACGATGGAGGGAGGAGGGAGGAGGAGGGAGGAGGAGGAGGGCAGGAGCAGGGAGTCCAGCAGGCCTGACTCACCGGCACGCGGCGCACACGAAGCAGTCGGGGTGGTAGGTCTTGCCCAGCGCCGACACCACCTCGCCCTCGATGAACTGGTCGCAGCTGAAGCAGCGGGTCCCGTACAGCCGCTGGTAGTCCCGCGTGCAGATGTACTCGCCCTGCCGCACGAAGAAGCCGCCCTCGGCCAGGTCACAGCCGCATGCTGGGGGGTGGGGGAGCGTCAGCGTCAGCGGGGTGCCGACCGTCTGCCAGGCCCCCCCACGCACAGCTCCCCCTTGACATAGGTCCCGTTGACTCGCCGAACCCCTGGTGGGGCCGGGCTCCAGGAGCAGACCTCCAGCTCTGGCCCTCAGCCTGGTGCTGGGTGGACTTTCTTCGGGAAGCTTCCAGAAGAGTAGCACCGACCCGGGACGAGAATGAGGCTACGCAAAGGGGCCCGTGCCCGTGAGCCCAGCGGGGGTGGAGTGCTGGTGCCCGTGAGCCGCTCCGCGACCCCAACCGGGCTGTTCCCAACATGGGACACAACGCACCGGGAAGGTGCTCTGTTCTGGGCGGGAAGATCCCGTGCGGCGGAGGACAGATGTGTCCTGTGGTTGCCCCCAGGCCACAGTGAACCCCCCCAACCCCCTCCCTGACTCCTGCCCATTTCCATGTCCTGATGTCTGTCTCCCACAGTGCGGACAAGGCCAGATCTCCCACAGGAGGGAGAGAGACCGTGAACACTCCAACACGAATCCTTTTTGCACACTTTGCCGGGTGGGGAATGGGGCGACTTTCTCAGGACAGCCTGACAGTCTGAGTCTGGGACACCCATGCATCCACCCCACACACTCCCCCTCCAGCCCAGGGGCATGTGGGAGCCATGCATGGTTTTGGAGGGAGCCACCTATGCACCGCCCCCCCCTCCAGCTGGCCCAGCCGCTCCCCTCAAGAGGCGAGGAGGACACCCTGCAGCCCCGGCCCTGCCAGCCGGGTCAGTCCTGGGTCCTCGGGGGTCCCAGTCCCCAAGCAGAGTCTTGAAAACCATGTCCTTCCTGCCTGCCTGCCTTCTTTCCTTCTTTCTTCACCATGTTTTTGAATCAACACTGAAAATATTTCATCAGCATATCAACTGATTGCAAAGGATGCTGTTTCTGGTGAATTCTAAGTATTGGCATCTTGAAATTTAACTCACGTCATCCTCTTGAGCACATGCAGTGGAAGGGAGATGCCAAAGCAAGACCACCAATATCTACTTGCAAAACCCCTAGCCAACTCGCAGTAAGCAGAAACTTCACCTTGTCCCTATTCTGCCTGGAAAGTCTATGTCCACTCTACTTCCCCAAAGCACTGTACGCAAATGTAATGCACTCCGATGTTCATAGCAGCAATGTCCACAACAGCCAAATTGTGGAAAGAGCCCAGATGTCCATCCACAGATGAGTGAATAAAGAAGATGTGGTTTATATCTATGATGGAATACTACTCAGCCATCCAAAAGAATGACATTGTACCATTTGCAATGATGTGGATGGAACGAGGGTATTATGCTGAGCGAAATAAGTCAATCAGATAAAGACAAATACCATATGATCTCACTCACGGGTGTAATTTAAGAAACAAAACAGAGGATCATAGGGGAAGGGAAGGAAAAATAAAATAAGACATAATCAGAGAGGGAGACAAACCATAAGAGACGCTGAAATCTAGGAAACAAACTGAGGGTTGCCAGAGGGAAGGTGGGTGGGGGATGGGGTAACTGGGGGATGGGCATGAAGGAGGGCACGTGATGGGATGAGCACTGGGTGTGAAACTAATAAAAATATAAAAATAAAAAAATAATAACTAATATGAAAATAGAGCTACCTTACGACCCAGCAATTGCACTACCGGGTATTTACCCCAAAGATACAAATGTAGGGATCCAAAGGGGTACGTGCACCCCAATGTTTATAGCAGCAATGTCCACAATAGCCAAACTGTGGAAAGAGCCAAGATGTCCATCGACAGATGAATGGATAAAGAAGAGGTGGTATATATACACAATGGAATATTATGCAGCCATAAAAAGGAATGAAATCTTGCCATTTACAACGACGTGGATGGAACTGGAGGGTGTTATGCTGAGTGAAATAAGTCAGTCAGGGAAAGACATGTATCATATGACCTCAGTGATATGAGGAATTCTTAATCTCAGGAAACAAACTGAGGGTTGCTGGAGTGGTGGGGGGTGGGAGGGATTGGGTGGCTGGGTGATAGACATCGGGGAGGGTATGTGCTATGGTGAGCACTGTGAATTGTACAAGACTGATGAATCACGGATCGGTACTTCTGAAACAAATAATGCAATATATGTTAAGAAAAAAAAGAAGAAGAAGAAGAAGATAGCAGGAGGAGAAGAATGAAGGGGAGTAAGTCGGAGGGGGAGACGAACCATTAGAGACGATGGACTCTGAAAAACAGACTGAGGGTTCTAGAGGGGAGGGGGGTGGGGGATGGGTCAGCCTGGTGATGGGTATTAAAGAGGGCACGGTCTGCGTGGAGCACTGGGTGTTATGCACAAACAATGAATCATGGAACACTGTATCAAAAACTAATGATGTAATGTATGGTGGTTAACATAACAATAAAAAAATTATTAAAAAAATATATAAAAAATAATAACTAATAAAAAAAAAAGACTAGAAGTGCCCCATTGTGCTCTCTGCAACAAAAAATTCCAGAGTCAATGTGGACATTGATTTATTCAGAATTTCTTGTGGTCACAAGGCTCTAAACATTTAATAAGTTATTTCTGGATTGGGTTCTTTTTTTTTTACAAAGATTAGTAGAAAGCTATCAAAATAACACATACATGATAAATGTTGGTAAATCAGTTTAGACACATAAAGGAAAACCTTCCTGCATCAGCGCTTGGTGCCATGGGTGCTGGTGACCGAGAGGAGCCCCCAGTGCCTGGTCAAGGGAGCCCCAACCGTGCAACCGCTCCTTGGCTTGGTGCCCTGGGAGTCCGGGAAGCGAGGGCAGCCTGGCAGCCTTCCCCACCCCCAGGCGCCTTCTCAGGCAGGTCAAGTTTCAGGAGAGCATCTGTGGAAGTCTGGAGTCTGGAGATCGAATCTCCAGGGAGTCGGGGTCCCCCAGGGCCCAGTCTGCTTGGCCTGGTCAGCGGGGGCCCCCTCAGCTCATGCCTCACTACTCGCCTGCCCCCCGGGGTTCCAGGCGGCCCTGCGGGGAGGGATGCCCCCTCAGCTCAGCCCCATCCCCACACAAGGTGAGGGAGCGGGTCTCTCCAGGGTCCCCATCCCCTCGCCAGGGCCACAGGGCGGCACGTGCTGCGCACCAGTTACGGACACTGGAGTGGTGCTCCGAGGAGATGTTAGCTCTGCAAAGTGAGACAGAAGCTGGGCAGCTGAGAGCCCAGAGGCTGGAGCAGCCTGGCTCTGGATCCCAGCTTCACCTGTGCACTTGGCTGTGTGCCCCGGGCAAGCTCCTGAATCTCTCTAGGCCTCTGCAGCCTCATCTGGAACACAGTCCACTTCCAAGGTAAAAACAGCAGCACAGAGAAGCATCATCTGAGCCCCGAGTTATGCGGGGCCCCATCAAGGCTGCAGCTGCACCGACACCACTCATCCCTGGAGGCCGAGGCCGTGGCCAGGCCTGAACCCTCCACTCCCAGCAGGACAGTGCAAACCCTCGGTGTCGTCTTGCACCACGGCGCACGCCCAGCAGGCGTACCCCGACTCGGGAAGGACAGCCCACCCGGGGCCTTGCCGTGGAGCGCCAGGATGGCCCAAGGGTACCCGCACTCTGGCGTCTGGCTGACTTCCTGATCTTTCCAAGGATCTGCTAGCATATCCTGGATCTAGGAGAAGAATGTGCGGACGCACATAGCGCCCCGCGGAGACCACGTGAGTCAGCATCGCAGGCCCCGGGGCGCCCATGAAGCCCTTTCCAGCCACGCCTGTCCCTGCTGGTCACCCCTGCTCCTGGCCGGCCTGCAGCTCCCCCAAGCACGTCAGGTCAGAGTCAGAACCCGGACCCCCGCCTGCTCAAAATAAGAACTCCAGATAATCAGGACAATGATGACATTCTATCTTGCCTGTCGAGTTAGCCAACATGATACAGGGGAGTGGAGCAGCTATGGGTGACTCCGAGGGTCGGTCTCCCCCTTCCCTGTGGTCATTCACGAGAAATGCTCAGGAGCGCAGGCAGCGGTGGGGAGACGCTTTCTGGAATACCATTCGGCGCTGACTCTAAAGAACGTGAAAACCACTCCTACCCTTTGACCCATCAATCTCCTTTCTGGGACTTTATCCCCAGGAAAGGACCAGGAACACCCACAGAAGTTCTGCGGCAGGGTTACACACCCTGGTACATTCAGGTTGGGTTCAGAGTCGGGCAGCCTGGGTTTGAATCCTCGCTCCCACTGCTTCCCCACTGTGTGACCTTGGGCAAGCCACGTCACCTCTCTGAACCTCCGAGTCCTCGTCTGTAAACTGGGGTCAAGCACACCCATATCTTGCATGGTTGTCTTAAGAAGTCAGTGAGATCGGGTGCGGAAGACCACGTGGCTCAGCGCCAGGCCGGAATGGATGTCGGCGTCCAGCAGCTGAGGGACGGCCAAGTTCACCGTGGGCCTCGCACGCGAGGCACTTGAGGTTGAAGCCCTTACAGGATGGGCTTGTGGGCGGTGAATTAGTCAGGACACAGACGCAGGGGTACAACATGACTTCCAGGTAAAGAGACTCACAGGGGACAGGTTGGGGAGGCTGCGTACCGAACCCGACAGGGGTCCCCTCGGGTGGCCCCGGAGGGATGTGACCCACTCTCCCCTACAGTTCTCTGTGCTGGGGGGCCGAGGAGGGAGCAGCTAACATCAGAACACAAGGAAACCGCTGCAGGCAACCCCCGCGGCCTGATCGGAGCCAGCCGGCTGGGGGCTCATGGCCACGGCCAGCCAGGGCTCACCCCATCCCTGTCCCCTGGGACCCTCCTTCTGTATCAACAGCCCCCTGTTGCCAGAGTGTCTTCCTGCCACGTGGTCCACAGATCCTGGAGCGCCCTGCGTGGGTCAGGCTGTGCAGAAGGACACGTGCCCTGGGCAGGCGGACGAGGCCCACGTGTCTGAAGCTTTCCTTTGGTTCTAGAAGCCCTTGGTCGGTTTCTCATGAATGCCCCGGGAATGCCCCAAAGGAGAGAAGGCAGGCATTTTGCACTGTTCCCTTGTTACCCCCAGGTGCCCAGAGTGGCTCTCTGGTGGCTATTTATAGTCCCAGATGGATGTGTCCTTGCCATACACCCTGTAGCTGCCACCAAGCTACCGGCAGAGCCGGGGGCCTTACCTCCCCATCACACCCCCTTCCCTCCCTGCCTGGCTCGCTCCACAATCATGGTTCCGCTCAGTCCCATGGCTTCCCGGATCAGGAACGCACGCTTTCTAGGGTTCACAGGTGGATGTGGCCTCCTGTGCTCAGCATTTCAGACCGGGGCCCTGTTTCCAGGGCATTACCAGCAGGGTACAGAAGACCCCAGTCAAAAAACCCTGTTTTAAAGGTACAGTACTTGGCCGCACATACACGGTCAAGAGGCTTTTCGAGGCAAATTTCAAGTTGTTTGTAAAAATGGCAACACTTTCATTTTTCTTGAGGACCTACTATGTGCAGGGTGTTTGACACATTTCTATATTATTTTGCAGCATAAGAATGGAGCTGGCCGGATCTCAAATCCCAGCCAGAATCACATGTCCTCCCAGGGTGGACACCATGGGCTCTGGCCCCCGAGCCCTTCCCCGCACACCTGCTGCGCCCCCGCACAGCACTGCAGAGCCCTCCTCCGTCTGTCCTCCCTGGACACCAGAGCCAAGGACCTCACAAGGAACCTGTCCCCATCACTCATTCTGCTCCGGCCTGTCCCCGGGTCCACCAGGCACACACCCTGCTTTCCTGTCTTTGCCCCAGATGCTTGCTCAGGCTGCAAGGCTCTTCCCAAATATCCCTCAAGTCTTCACTCAGGTCACCTCTTCTGTGAGGCCCACCCTGATTACCTGGTTGAAAATAGCAACTCCTCCCGAACTCCCATGCCTGCCTTTCCCGAGCCCCTCTTCCACCTTTCCTGTTCGGCACTTAAATAAAATGTATGTATCCTATCCAGTGTTTATGGTCTGTCCCCCACACTAGAACATGATCTCCACAAGGACAAGCTTATCCATTTTGTTCACGGATGCATCTCAAGCACCCAGAACACTGCCTGCACACAGTAGGTGCCCAAGAAATCATTGTTGCATGAACCCCGAGGTTAGGAAACATGTCTAAGACCCACATTCACATTGGGGTGGCAGGGGTGGGATTTGTGCCCAAACCTCCAGGCATCAAAGCCCAAGACTGGAGCATCCATGAGGGAGAGTATAATTACATGATCATTTCATGCAAACTGAGGCACATCCAACAAGTGCCAAGGTGGCAAGAACCCCTCACACTGGGGCCTCTGGTGAGAATCTGTGCTAACGGACCCTGCTTTGGTTCACCTGGCAACATGCCCACCCAGGGACAGACGTGACTGGTCTCAGTGAGTCACCACCCTCCTTTCTGGTCCACTGTGCCCGCGTGGGTGGGCCTGGGACCCAGTTCTAGCCAACAAATCAGATTTGAAGTCTTTGTGGGGACCTTGGGGAAAGGGTTCTCCCTGGTCAAAGGGAGAATCATGTGAGGAGGGAGCCCTTTGCCTGTGCATAGCCCACCACCCCCGAATCCCTTCCCAGGTTGGATGCTACCTTGTGAGGATGTGATGTTTGGAGCTACAGCAGCCACCTTCAGACCATGAGGAGAGGTACTGCTACCATGCACAGGATGAGGGAGGGGCAGAGGGGGCAGTGGGGGTGGGGAAGTAGAAAAAGAACCTGGGTCTTTAACGACCTTGTTGAGCTGTTAAGCTAACCAACTCTGGGGAGTAAAGGGGCCACCTCCAGGCTTTAGGTTAAGACAATAAATATCCATGTTGTTTAAGACACTATGAGTTGGGTATTCATTTTGATTCATCCAAAAGTACCCTCAATGATTCACAGGCTTTGCATTTTCATGAGAACCTGGATAGAAGACCAGTCTGAGACTGTGGGATCTTCATACTTAAAGAGACACAGCTTTTTCCAGCTAGCGGGCAGTCTTAGCTGCCCCACCTCGTTCCTCAGCAGGTGAAGCAGAGATGCCCCACCCCCCAAGGGCAGGGGCCTCACTGATCCGCATGGCCGTGGGACAGCTGCCTGGCACGGGGTGAGGCTCTGTAACTGGCTGTGGGTGTGGGCTGTGGCCTTGGAACGGGGCCCGCGTGCCCACAGGTCCTGCCACCAAAGCCACTACTGCAGGAGCTGCGGGGGGCGGGGGCAGCCGCAGTCATACAGGGCCAGTCCCAGGAGCTGCCCGCTGCCCACCGCCTGCCACGAGGAAGGGGCCACAGCGACTCTCACATCTGCTCAGGGGCTAGCTCGGAGGACAAAGTCATCTGGCCCAGGTGACACTGCAGGGGGGTGCTCCTGGGGCAGTCCCCACCTCCCCCCAAATCCTGTGGGTCAAACCAGGACTCGACTCTGGAGTCTCATGCCTTCTATTGGGTTCCTAAGCTCTGTGCTTACAGACAATCCTTTTAAACACGGTGGCCGCTTCCCCAGTGTCTTTAAAAATAACCTTTTAAAAGAGCATTTTAATGGATTTTGCTTTTCAGACACAGCAAATTTGTCTTTTGGAGAGTAGAGAAAATTAAACCAGATAAATCCCACAGTGGTCTGGGAAGCTCTGATGAAAAGGAAGAGATGCTTCAGGCGGGGTGAGGGCACTGACCAGGATGAGGGCACTGACCACGGTGGGGGGTGGGGCACTGACCATGGCAGGGGGGCAGCATCATGGGCAAAGGCAGTGTTTACAGGATACTAAAGGCTTGTTATTCTCACACCCCCACCTGGGGCTGCTCCATCCATTCCCAGAAAACAGGCACCTCCAGACTATGCCCCTCTGAGGAGCAGGGTCAGTGTCACCCTCAGACCGAGGGTCCCGGGGCACTCCCACCCCTGCCAGAAATGGTGCCACCCCAGAGGTCCCTGGGTCTCCCCTGGGTCACTGGCCCCCGCAGGGCCCCCATGTCTCCCATGGCACTCTGCCCCCCTCCAGGGCCACGGGGCTTCAGGGCCATTTCTGGGGTGTCCCCTGTCATAGCAGAAGAATCCAGGCCAGTGGTTCTCAAGTTTTCTTTCCAAACAACAGGACTGGACACACAGTCTTCACAGAGGGCCCGAGGCCATGGCGTGGCGATGGACAAAGCTCCTCTGGGGTGGCGGGGGGCTCACCTGCGGCCTCGCACCCCCACGCCCAGGAGGTGCTTCCTGAAAATCTCCAAGGGACTCAGCCGGGGCCACACCCAGGCCTGGAATCCAGCCGGGGTCAGGCTCCCTGTCTCCAGGCCCCAGCTACCCCCTCAGCTAGCTGCTGGCACGGGGAGGAGGCTGGGCCCCCAGCCTTGCCCCTCCCCCTCCTGCCCGGCACACTCCACGGTCAAACCACAGACGCGGGTCCACACGGCACGCACCTGCCCCTGCCCCCTGGACTGGCCCAGCACCCCCTCTGACCGCCCGATTCGTCCTTACTCCAAGTTAGAGCCCAAACACCACCTCCCCCTAGCAGCCCTCTCTGGAAGCTTCTGGATCCTTCCGTGCTCCACGCCCCGCCCCCCCCAGCAAGGGCAAAGACCAGAGACCAGGGATGCTCACCTTTGCAGACGAAGCACTTGATGTGGAAGTACTTGTTCTGGACCCTTAGCACCTCCCCCTTGCACACATTCCCGCAGGTGTTACACAGGATCGCGGTGCTGGGCGGCTTCTCCAGGGGGCTGTGGGCGGCCTGGGGCTCCGACACTGCCAGGGAGGGAACAATGAGCCATGTTAAAGGTGGGACACACGCCAGGCCCAGTGGAGCAAAGCAGCAGCGGCGTGAGGCCTTGGGGGCCCCCGCCCCAGCTCAAGCCCCATTGGGTGTCAGGGGACAGACGCGTCTTCTTTCCTGGGGGACCGGAGGGGACTGGATAATGTGAGAGGCCATCTGGCCAACCCCCAGTGAGGGGGCTCCTCTCTATGGCAGCCCCACCCAGTGGGCCACCTGTCCCCCATCCAGGTGGGCACCCCTTTAGTGATGAGAGATCACAACCCCTCCCAACAGGCAGCCTATTCTCTTGTTGCCTTGACCTGGCAGGTCCTCGGCCGGCAGGGCCTCCGAAGCAAGGTCCCCCACCATAAGCTTGGCAGCCCTTTTGCAGCCAGGAGACCCAGAGTCCTCTCCTCTGCAAGTACAATAACCATGGTCCTCCTTTGAGCTTGCTTCAAATTCCCTCTGCGTCCTGGGGCCATTGACCTGAATACTGTTGCTGTCCTCCTTAAAGCCAGCCATGGCCTGGGATGTTTATGGAAGCACTGGGAACCCACTGAGGGCCGGCCAGGGCAGGGTGGACGGTGAAAAGGCCCAGCCGTGGGGCTCTTGGGGTCTGGGCAGGGCCATACGCTCCTCATCCACGTCCTCCAAAAGCACCTACGGAGGCCAGAACACAGGATGCTGTGGCCCATGGTGGGGCTGCCCCTTTGAGGAGCTCCAGTCGGGCAGTGGAGACACCCCCGTGGCGAAGCTGGGGCTGGGGGAGGCCCAGGGGCTAGGGGCCAGCAGAGTCACTTGAAGCACAAGGAGGAGCTGGTTGGATGGCGGAGTTGGAGGCTGGCGCGGAGGCCTGCTGGGCAGAGAGCATGGCCCAGGCAGGCACCCGAACAGGCTGGAGCCTTCTGACTCAGGACCGACTGGAGAAAGCCAAACCCACTGCCTCACCAGCCACGTGGGACGCCCCCTTCCAGCCTCCCCAGGCCCCCAGTCCCCGTCGGGCTCACCCAAGAGCCCCCTTTCCTCCTCTGGGAAGCTCTCCCCTGCTCTGCCTGCCTCTGGGTCTCTGCCAAGTGCGGGTAGCCGACCCCCGGCTCCAGCCAGCATGGAGTAGACCGCTTTGCTTTTCTTGTGGGGTGGGGAGTGTCTTTTCTCATTTCCACATCTTCTAATGCCACCCTCCTTTTTTGGTCTGGGGCCCTGCCTGATGCTTAGACAAGGACGGGCTGCAGGTGTGTATCTGGGGCCAGCCGGTGGCAGGAAGGAGTGGGGGGGCCTGAGGCAGGGAGTCTGCAGGTGCAGCTGAGTCCACCTGGCTGCAGCTGAAACCCCAGGCGGGCCCGGGGCTGTGGGCTGGCCGACGAAGCACCTGCCACGCTTTGTTGGGGCGGTCAAGCTATTTGTACGTACACACACACACACCCCATTTACACAATTGTCTAACACTAGCTTTGAGCAAGCACCAGACCTCAAGGTCTCCTCATCCCTGTCGTAAACATCAAGGAGGTCCCTCCAGACAGAGGAGGACATTTCTCCACCCAATTTCCCACCTGTCCCCTGCCCCCAGCACCCCGCGTCCCAGCAGCCCCTGATCTGCCAGAGCCAGGCTCCTCTCTGCTGCGGTCCCTGCCCGAGGTGCAGAGTTTGAGAGCAGGCGGCACAGAGTGGGGGCTGGGCCATGCTGGGGACAGCGAGCTGTCCGAGGAGGAGGCTGTGAACACCCCAATGGCATCAGGGTTCCAGCTGCCTGGGAATGAGAAGGTGCAGGAAAGGAGGTGAGCAGCTTGAAAAGTAATTCGGCATCACTCCGGGTACCCCAGACCCAGAGTCAACGCCTGCCTCGCGTTTCCAGAGGAGTCAGGATCCGAACAGCAGACTGGAGGGCGCAGGGCTGGGCGGGGGGCCCCGTGAGGTCCGTCTGCCCTCCTACGGCCATGGTGACATTCCCCACTCCAGCTTAAATGCCAACAGCAGGCTTGCCCTTCGCTTCTTTTTCCTGTAGAAAAAGTGCAGAAATTGCCTTATCCATTACTTAATAAAATTAGCGGAAGGCGGCATTTCCTTGGGCTTGAATTAAGACTCCCTTGGCGGAATGAGCCACTGGAATCCAGGTTTAAAACCTGTGAACAGCCCGGGGCCCGGCAGGCTCCTGAGTCACCCTGTCCACCTCTGAGGCTCGGTGGAGACTGTGGGGGGTGCGGGGTGGGACACATCCTCCACACTGTTACCTTCTCATCTGTCAGGCAGACAAAGAACAATAGCCTATCATCTGTCCACAAGCAGACAAGCAAGTTTTTATACTACTAGAATCTGGCTCAAGTCCAATATGAGGGAAGGTCAAACCAGCCCCCCTGGGGGGTCACTGTGAGCCCTGGGGGAGCACAGGATACAGGGCAGACAGCCTGGGTGCAGCCCCAGCTTCACCCCCTGCGTGCTGTGACCTGGAGTGCCCAGCGTTCCGTGTGTCTGTCCATCTACGCATCTGCCCTCTGCTCACATCACCTGCCTTGGGGGTGGGGTGGGGGGGCTTGCTAAGATGATGGGCTCAATACACAATGGCTATTGTCATTTGCAAAAACACAGAGCCTGACACCGCCAGTTTCCTGGCTACTGCAGATCTATCTGGTCTGGGGCGGGGGAGAGCTGCTTTAAGATAGGTTTTGCTGGGGGGCCCCAACTCTGCCCACCTGGAGCATCCTCTAAAGCCTCCTGGGGCGGCTCGTCGTGAGAGCAGTGGTGCTGCCCTCTGGTGGTGGGAAGCAGACACTGCGCGGTGGGGCTGGGAGGGCCTTCTGCGCAGGTGTCAGCCTGGCCCGGGGATCCCATCTGTGAATCCTGCGCATTTGTGGCGGAAGCATCTCACCTCCCAAGGTGAACTCGTTCCTTGCCCCCTCACAGAGGCCCAGTTGCCAGAAATCCCTGCATGTGGACTCTGATGGGGTGTTTCTCCTCAGGGTGCTGTTGTCCCTGCTGCTGAGGGAGCTGAGACCAGGAAAGGAGGCTCAGGGTCCGCAGGCGGCAACACCCGGGGTTTTCCCCAGGCGGCCCCAGGACAAGGACGGGCTGTTCCTGCCAGCCCCGGCGTCTGGTGCGCGTGGGTCTTACGTAAAAAAGGATAATTATCCAGAAACCAGATATCAAGCCACAAAACAACATGGAAGACACCCAGATGCCTATTACTGAGGGAAACAAGCCAGTCTGCAGAGGCTGTGTGCGGTGTGAGTCCATCTACAGGACATTCTGGAAAAGGCAGACCCATGGAAACAGTAAAAACAATCAGCAGTTGCCGGGGCTTGGGGGGAGGGAGGGATGAGCAGGTGGAGCCTGGGGCTGCTTAGGGCAGAGAAGCCGCTCGGGTGGGACACTGTGATGTGAACACACGTCATCACACACTTGTCCGAACCCACAGGAGGTTCAACCCCCTGGAGGGAACCCTGATGGAAACCTCAGTTCATTACAATGTATCAAAATGGGCTCATCACCTGCAACAAACGCACATATTAGAGGGGAAAGTTTGTGGGAACTCCACTTTCTGCTCAGTTTTGCTGCAAACCGAAAACCACTGTAAGAACTAAAGTGTGTGAAAAATGTTAAAGGAAAGAGAAACAGAGATCGAGAGCTACCACACCCAGAGGCCCAACCACAAATGCAACAGGCTCATTTGGCTACAATTGCAAGATGGGCTCCAACCTTTGGTTTCATGAGTCCCCAGCTGTGATAATAACTTAAAACATAAAGTCAAGTGGTGAGAATCGATCACGCGAGGCTGTGACCATTTGATCGCCCTGTGATAAAGAAATCCCAGCACTGGGGAGCCTCGCCAGGAACAGGAATTATTCCCGGGACCATCAACCTGATCGAGGGCCAGCCCCGCAGTCCCCGGCGATGCCCTAGGGTCCCTCCAGGCTGTGACCCTGCTCTCTCTCCAGGAGACAGGAGCTGCATGCTGCTGGGCCCGGGACAGGAGCCAACAGGGCTGGGTGTGGGCCCTCATCCCCATCCGGGGGCAGCTGTGTGGCCTTGGAGGGCTGACCAAACCCCGAGAAGCCTCAGGTTTCACATCTATGAGCTAGAGCTTGGTCTCATGAGGCATTTTGTGAGACTCCATTAAAGTAGAAAAAAAACCCAGTGCAATGCCTGACAAGTGTCGCGGACCCCAGCTGCTGGCCTGGTTGTCCCCAGGCCTTCAGATCTCAGGGTCACCCCGCACCTGGGGATGGGGATGGGAGGAGGCTATCAGGAAGGAGACCAGGAGCCTCCCAGGGGGGTCGTGCCTTTGCTTACTTGCCCACCTCGTCAGTAGATTGTCCTAGATTTGCCTCCACGCTTTGGCCACCTCGTGATGTGGCAGGGTAGGCGACAGGGAGGGGCGGGACACCCGTCCTGATCCCAGCTACGCCCCTCCCTACCCTTGGGCAGGTCACATGCCCTCTGGAGCCTGTTCCCTCCTCTATGAAATGGGGACAAGTATTCCCAAATGTGGGACCCTCGCGCTGATCAGACCAGATGATGCGTGGGTAGCCAGTGACCCAGCTGAGCACCTGCTGTGTGTGCAGGCACAGGAGGCAGTGACTATGATGGGGGGCCACGGATGGTGCCCTTAGCGACCTCCAGCAGGTGGGGCTCCTAACATTGGCCTCTGCTCCCAGTGCCTTGCCCAGCAGTGTCCAGTGCTGATGCGGTGGGCGGGGCCAATCCAGACCAGTGCCGGGCCTTGCTGGCCCTTGGCTTGGGGACAGGGACTGTGGCTGAACCCCACCAACGCCGCTGCTAATGTCAGTGCCACGCTCGGCTCCCTCGCCCATGTGGCTGGCGGGCGGGCCTCCTGGGCACCGGGCAAATGGGCCTCTTTACCCTGATGAGCGGGGAACACGCCTCTGGCCTCTTCACCCAGCAAATCCTCCCATTTTCCTCTTCGCTCTGTCGGCTCAGGCCGGACGGGGGCCACCTCCCACTTTGTTCATAGAAATTCACCAACCTGACGTCACTCTAGATGCCGTAGCCGAATGCCCCCTCTTTGTTCCTGTCATCAAAGCTGGAGGCCCACGGTGATGCCCTCGGAACTCGTGCCGGGCACGGTCTCCCTTCTCCCCTGGGATCCTCACCAGGGCAGGTGCCGCTGCGGCCCGGCCTCCTCCAGCCTCAGAGCATCTGCCCTGAGCCTTCCAGGTGCCCTGAACCCCTGGAGACCACCGCGAGCCAAAGCACTTCATTGTGAAGTCAGAACTGCAAGGCGCTCGGCCAAAGCGCGCTCAACTCCAAGAACTCAAACAACAAAGCTGTTCTTCCTGTTACTGTTTGCTGATTCAGTCATTCACCCACGCAACAAATGCCCGAAGACCTACTAGGTGCCTGGATTCCACAGGAACCAAACAGGCCCAGCCCTGGCCCCCTACCTGCAGGAATGGTCTGTTACCCCCATTTTACAGATGATGACCCTCAGACTTAGAGACAGGTGGGGGCTTTCCCAGAGTGACCTAGCTAGAGGAGGGACTCGGCTGGGCCCCAGCTCACGGGGGTGT